TCCCGACTGAGCTTGCAAAGCTTATTCCAAACTTGTGTTTCGGTTTCGGGGACTGGCTTCTTTACTGAACGAAATCTTTCGGGATTTTCACCAAATCACCCTAAACCCAAAACACATGATACTAGTACACAGGAACAACATGGTGCCAATGATATGAAAACTCTGGGCGGCACTCTATAAACCGATCCAGGGCCCGTGTCACCTGATACAAACCCGACCCGAGCAAAATACCCAAAACTAGAACCGCTAGACCCTATAGGCCTATAGGGAGAGCCTCCTCGGTAGGAGACCCTCCCCAAGTCCACCCTGCTGCCGCCCAGCAACCATCACTTGTCCGCCGGGTCGCCGCCCTTCTCCCCCTTCTCCTTCTCCTGGTTGTCGCCCGCATGTGGCTCTCCTGCAGCAGAAGCTCCGAAAAAACAAACACACACACACACAAACTGTCCTTGATCGTTTCCAGCTGCAGGTGCGACGGGCCTGGGTCGCTCAGGATGCAGACGGCTTCCACCGAACTTAAAGGAAAACCGAGACCCGTACGACAACACAATCCATGACCCCGTTGGCGAAGCTGGTGCCGCCGCCTGGCTCCGAGCCTCTGCTGCCTCTGCTTGGCGGCGACGTTTCTCCGGATCGACGGCCGTGGCTCAAAGCACGCACAAGCTGAAGCAAAACGGCAGAGTATTGCGGCCCAGCGGCAACAGGACCCTCTCGTGGACGTTTCTCCGCTTCCGTCTCACCCCACCATTTGCCCTTGGGGCAGCCAGCAGCCTTGGTCTTTACATAGGAGACTCGGAGAGCCTCCTGTATAGGAGACCCTCCTTTAATCCCTTACACATAGACAGGAGCCCATGTACGATTTATACAGAGCTAGGACCCTACATTTCTACATGAAGGTTGCAATTCAGGGAGAGCCTCCTTCATAGGAGACCCTCCCTAGTGCCAAGCTGCATGCCATTGCTTGACCGATTCCTGCCATTGCTTCCGCTTAAGTCCCTTGTTCTTCTTGTTCTTCTTCTTGATGTTTTGCGAAACATTGGCACCGTGGATATCATCGAACTCCTTCGGGGTGTAGTCCGGCTTGCCTCCCTTCTGCTTGTAGGGGTTCCACGGCTCCGACCGGTTGGGGTTGTAGATATAGTAGTCGCCTTGCTCGTTTTCAGGGTTAAGGGCTCTGGCTTGGAGCTTCGGGCTCGAGGTGTTATGGGCCTTAGAGACTTAAAGGATTAGAGGATGCACCCAAACACTTCTGTAGACTGTAACCCCCCGCTACAAATAACTGCTAGCCAAGCTGCACTTTTTGTTGACACAGCCGTCTTTGCGGATGTACCCATACGATTTGCAGAACTGACAGTACCTCAGGTCATACTCCGGCTCATCATCCGGATCCTCGTCCGGCTCGTCGTCTTTCCATGGCTCCCAGTACGACTTGTCGTCGCGACCTCCTCCTCCGCCCCAGCCACCTGAGCCCCAACCGCCAGAGCCCCAACCGCCGCCGCCTGAGCCGCCGCCGCTGTAGTAGCTGGTGCCCGTCGTCGCCATTGCAACGGGCTGGCCGAGAGTGCAAAAGGAACAGGGTTCGAGCCAAAGCAAGCTGCATTATATGCATTCAGCGCACACATGGTTTCACAGCAGCAACATACAAAGCGCAAGTGCTTTGCAGGACCCAGGAGAGCCTCCTCCATAGGAGGCCCTCCTTGCAAGACAACAAGATCTCGCACGCACTTCTAGCTGCAGCTTTTCACTACACGCCAGAGCATGTGCCGGATACTATACTCAGAATGTCTCTAAAGGCCGTGCCCCTAAACTGCCAAAGCCCGCAAGTCACAACCCCCACCCCTCTCAGAAACGAAGTTCAATAACCATATACCAAACATATACCAAAACAAAACATTGAACGTGGAATGAAAAACAAACACCGCATATCCCAGCTAGGAGGGCCTCCTCCAAAGGAGGCCCTCCTTGACATCCTTCCACGCGAAGACGTGCTTTAGGCACTGTCGAATATCGCAAGGCATCCTTTTCGCCGCTTCCAGGCTCCTTATAGGACAAAATCCTAGCCAACTGATCTAACCAGCTGCCCGGGGGGTGTCATCACTCGAAACATAGTTTGCTCCTTCATGGTAAACAAACCAACGAATATCGCTATGCCAAAGCTCGTGTACGGCTTGGACGGTTTTGCGATCTCGAGGAACAAGAAAAGCCCAAATGAGGTCGGTCGCCCTTGCACAACTGAACTGGTGGATGCTGTCGCCGAAGATGGACCATTGGACGTCCAGCAGCCAGGCCGTGTGTACCTGAGCCACCTGAAACTGGTCTCGTAGATCAAGATATTCCCAAATCCTCCGGCCAGCCTGGACTCGGGCGAGCGATTGCAGCAAGTCTTCCATTGCTGAGTTCTGCAGATGTTGGGCCGAAAAGTCGCTGCGAATATTCCTTTCAATTCACATGCCAGGAAAACAAAAGACGAACACGGCGACGGAAACTGCATGCGAAGCTTGCACACGAAATTGCAGGGGCCTTTCCTTTTGCATCTCGTTTGCTTAGATGGCAAGCATAGTGTGAAAAATCATTTGCCTCGCTCACAGACATGATCAGTCAGACCTGTGCGAGGCGACTCTTACACCAATCTTCGGCATCAGCTTCTTCAAGCTCGCCGCTCTCAAGCTTCTGGACACATGCTTTTGCGATCCTGTCCATCTGCCAAACAGGGACGCCTTTTCGGCCGAACTGGAACAGCTGTGAGAAGGGAGCCTGCTTCTGCCGAATGGCCTTCTTGTGCCTGGGCGCCTTGTAATACATGATGGTGTATGTGCGCCGTCCCACACGATCCTGCTGTGCAGCAGCTACGTTCTCCGGCTGCTCCTCCGCAACTGATGGCTGGGGCTCCATGCCACTGTCCTCGTTTTCTTCGAGGCTGGCAGAGCTAGCCGAAGCACTTGCCGTTGTCGGTGCTGCAGCCGGCCTCTTCTTGGCAGCCGGTTTTTTCATCACTCGAGCAGCCGGCCGCTTCATCCGCTGAATTCGCAGATTTGGGATCTCTGTGGACACTGCCTCCGCTGAGCCAGGGAACAAAGCTTTCTGGAATCCGTCTTCGCCTTCTTGCATCGTTGCCATCACCAAAGCCCCACTGGGATAAGCACGAACCATGCAGAGGCGAGCAGAGTCGAAGTACTCTTGGTATTCAGCAGACCCGTCTCCGCCCGAAGTTTTGTCTTCCACTGGCAAAGCTGCCGTAGGAGGTGCCTCCTGAGTAGGAGACATGACCTCCTGCGAGGAAAACACTTCCTGCACGTGGGCAGGAGACAGCCCAGTCTCCTCCACCTCTGGACCTGGATCTGAAACTGGCGCCTCCAGGCCGTACTGTGTGAAGATCTGCTCCTTGCTGCTGCGAGTCGCAGGAGCCACCGAAGAGGGCGAGGGCGGAGGACTTGCAGCAGGTTTGGATGCAGAAGAACTGAAGCTGCTTCTGGAGACTTCTCGTGCCACACTGCCGCCCATGCCTTTCAAGAACATGACCACCTCACGAACGGCAGGTGGTAGCTTCTTCCCAGACGTGCAACTGCGCTTGCTGCGACAATGACATACCGCATTCACAAGCTTCTCGCACCAAGGCTTGCAAAGATCTCTACTGGATTCCGGGAACAAGCTCATGCAGCCAGCAAGGAGTACCTTCACGGTGGGCCTGCTGGTTTCCTTCAAGACGTCCAGGATCAAAACCTTGTACTCAGCCACGACCTCATCCAGGCTTAAGTTCATATACTGGTCTGGTTTAGGGGCATCTGCAAAGCCATTCCCCTTCAATACTTTCTTGATGTCCTTTGCACTCGCTTCATTGCGGGCTCGGGCCATCTCTACAGGAGGCCGCTGCAGCCAAAACAAGACTGCAGGAGGAAGTTGCACATGCATGGCATAATCTGCGGGAATGCTGCACCTATCTCTTCCAAGCAAATCAATTGCTCCAGCTCGTACGGACAAAGAGACAGAGAGAGACACAGAAACTCCGGTGTCTGTGTGTGTCTGTGTTTTTTTTTTTTTTTGTGTGTGTGTGTGGGTGTGTGTGTGTGTATGTGAAATTCTGTTTGTTGGTTTCTCTCGCTATGTATAAGTATGTGTATATAGTGTATATGACTGTATTAAAAAAACACCTTAATTAAGGTATGAAAAAAACACCTTATTTAAGGAAAAACACCTTATTTGAAAAACAAAAAAACACCTTAAGCTTAAATAAGGTCTTTTGGAAGATCTGGGTGATGGATTTGGCGGCCATGGAGGCCGCGACGTCGAGTACTCAGCTGATCCTACCTGTCAGCTACAGAAAGTTCAGGGGAGTTGCGCCGCGCAACTATGTTCTCAAAGCTATGCTTGAGGGTGAGCATGCTTCCATCGAAGACTTTCTGGAAAGGCTCAATGAGGATGCAAGTGCAGTTGTGGGATCGGCTGTGCTTGTGGATGAGCTCTTTCATGTACGTGAAGCCCTCGTTCTTCTCTGGACCGAGCAGCTGACAAAGCGGTGTGATGGCGACCCACCTTGGGTGGAGCGCCTCCAGGCGATGGGACATTTCCCGAGCACTACCCTGTGGTTTGCTGACGGGGACTTTGGCCTTGCTCCGGCGGAGGCCTATCGCGATGCAATGTCCAGCCGCAGCGGGGCAGCCGGGAGCAAGTGGCAGCAGCGCTGCCGCTCTCTGGTGGGCGACCTGGCGCTGGGGCGGACGCTGAGCTGGTGACGCGGCCGGCTGCTGACGAGATTGAGGAGGATGCGGAGCCGGCTGGGCTTCCCGAAGTGGAGGCGACCAACCATGGCGATGCTGCTCTTCCTTTGCAGCCGGCGGTCAGAGGTGGTAGCGTAAGGGCCCCGACCCGAGAACCGCGAAAAATCAAAGAAGATCCGTGGAAGGACAAAGAGCCACCTAGCCCGGCCTCTCCCTGCCTCCTTGGTAACATGTTTTCTAAGACCGGCCCGTTCGGGGCCCCCTCCGAAAGTAGCTCTCCTTGCCGCCATGGCCTCGGTGCTGCAGCTCTCGGCCTGTGTCAGTGTCAGTCCCCTGCCTCTTGCGAACCGGCAGGTGTGGACTTCCTCGGGGGCCCCCTGGGCGCCACGGCCCAAGGTGGCAGTGCGATCGAGCAAAGTTGTGGCACGGACTTTCTTGGCGGCCCCATCTGGACGGTGATGCAAGCGCATGCATTTCCTAGTGCCAGTGTGGATCATGTGCAGCCTGTGCAGCAATCCCTTCCGTGCCTTCCGGTGTGTGTGCAGTTTGGGCTTCCTGCCCTCCAGCGCTGCTTTGCATTCCTGCAAGGTGTCCGTGTGGGTGAGGCAAAGCACCCGGGCCCGCGAGGCCCACCAGCAGTGATTACCTGGAACTGGCATTTGGGGTTTAGGTTCGGTGAAGCTTCGCACCCAGGCCCTGCTGAGCCTACGAGCCGAGGTGATGGATGCCATCCCCCTTTCCCCTCTTGGGTTCTAGGTCCTCCGCGACGCCAGCAGCCGGCCCCGGCGCCGCTAGGCCCCCTAGGGGTTGAGTGTGCACCTAGATGCTGCGTGACAGGCCGCCGGGCCCCTGCAGGCGAGCCGATGCTTAGTGTGTGCCATGACTGGAAGAGGGGATGCCGCCTGGGCGAGGCTTCTCACCCTGGGCCTGGCTTCAACCTTGACCTTGGTAACCTTGGGGATAGCCTTGGCGATAGCATCATGAAGTCGATCAAGGAGCAAATCCAAAAGGCAGTTGACGAGGCGGTAAAGCAGGCCCTGGCGTCGCTCAATCTCGGCCGGGGCGTGGCTGCTGCCCGGCCGTCCGGCGATCCAGCCATGCAGCTCGAGCCAAAGGGAAGGCGCAAGAGGAAGCGTAAGGCCAAGCAGGCCACGAGCCACCCAGGTGGCAAGCCCGACGCTTCGGGCAGTGAGTGTGCAGGTGGCCGCCAGAGCGCAGCCAAAGGCAAGGGCAAACCTGCAGAAAAATCCGGCCCAGCCAAGGTGGCCCAGCGCGGTGGCCCAGGTGACTCAGGTCAACGCCGGGGCAAGGGCAAAGGCGGTTGTGGTGAGGCAGGCGGGCAGGAAGCCGGTGATGGCTGGAGGGTCATCCAACGCAGGGCCCCGGAAGGCGCCTTCAAGCTCCGAAAATCTGATTGGGACGCTCCGGTCGTTGAGTACGCTGCCCTCGCTGAGTTCATTGACAAGGCTGATGCCAGCAAGGTCCTCGAAATTGTAGTTTTTGTTTCGGCCGACCAGGTCACGCTTGCTACGAACATTCTGCGGGGGAGCGGGCTGAGTTTCAAGGCCCTGCTTGTTTTTCTCTCCAAGGATGAGGAGGCTCAGCGCATCCCGGGCACCATTGGGGATCGCCTGGTGTTTAGGACTGCCAAGGTCCAGAAGCTCACGTCTGCAGGTGCCAGTGGCCACGCTCCGCAGCCCACCGGCCTGAGCCAAACGTCCATCAAGATCCGACCCACTGAAAGTGCAGTTGTATACTTTAAGGTGCCAAAGCAGTTCGCCTCAGCCGACACTTGGAAGGCTTTTGGGGGCAATGCCTCCAAGGCCGCTGTAGACTGGGTCGCGGCCCACAGGATCAAGGTGCTCGACACTTTTGCCTGGGTCCTGGAAAAGCAGCGCAACGACACTCATGAGCAGTACTTCGGCATTGTTCGCATTCCGAAGGCAGACATTGAGGGCATCCTGGCCCACTCTGGCAAGGACGGTGTCTTCGTGGATGCCGCTCGCACCTCAGGGCCCCGGGCGAAGCTCCAATGGATCGAGAAGCTTCCTGGCGAGAAGGTGGACGCCTACTTTGAACGTGCCCTGCGCCAGGCTCCCAGCCTGGGCTTGGTCGTCAATGGGGGGCGATTGGCGTGGCGAAGTGCCATGGCGGACGGAGAAGCAACGGTGCGTATCTGGCACATGGATGGTGTGCCCCACGAGTGGGATGCGGATGCCGTCGGCCAGCTCTTTGGCCACACGCTTCACTGAGTACACCATTCTGTCGCATCGGCGCACCCGCCTCGGATCCTGCTTTCGCTTCCGCGGGCAACCTGGAACTGCAGACACTGACCTGGTGCCGTTCGTCGTCGAGCATAAGGAGAAGCCCTTGTCCCTGTGGGCAACGCTGGCACCTTTCCGTGTCGTCTCCAAGAAGCAGAAGCCTCTCGCCTCGAAGGCCGTCCCGGTCGTTGCTCTCGAGAAGCCTGTCGGTGCCACCACCGTCAAACCTCCCACGGGGGAGCTCGCCACGGGCGAGGACGGCAAGGAAGTGCCCCAGCAGAAGCGCGTCAAGCAGGAGGTGCGCACCAAGCCAGGTGACCTCCAGCTCAAGGCATGCCCTCGTGACGGGGCCTGTGTACTGCATGCCATGAGCCTCGGCCTTCAGTGGCTCGGGGACTCTCGGCCCAATCACCCGCGCATGCTCCGTGCGCAAATGGTCGATCACATGCGCCGGCATGTCACCCAGTACGAGAAGGAATGGGACGGCAAGGGGCCGGACGGCGAGCCGGTCAAGGACCGGGACTTCTCCGCATACCTCACTCTCATGGAGAAGGAGGGGGCGTACTGCTCGGATGTCGAGCTGAGGGCCCTGGGCCGTGTGCTGGACATCAAAATCGTCGTGCTGCCGGCGGGCCTCAACTTCTCTCCTTACGCCTTTCATGGCAAAGCTGCCAAGATGCTGGTGTTGTGGTATGAAGATAACCATGTGGATCTTATGCTCCCGCCCGAGGGTCACAAGAAGTATCCAAGTGAGTATGCCCAGATCACAGCCGGACCCGTCTTTGGCCTGCGTGCTGGTGGCCGTGGGCCCCCATCGGTCTTCACTGCCTCCTCTGCTGCCTGTGTTCGGTCCCGGCCTTCCTCTCAGTGGACTTCGGTCATGGACGACGAAGGGGCAAAATCCCAGGCCCGCCCGGCATCGGTTTGGACCACCTCGATGCAGGCGAGCACCTCGGGGAGTGCCGCGGGGCGGCCCTCGATCGCAGCCCAGCCCTCTTTGCAAGGTAGGCGGCCCAGGTCACAGGTTCCACAGGCAAGGTCTTCAGGCTGCCAGGTGCCGTCGCAGGCAAAGGTGCAGGCATTTTCCCGGCCGTGCTCACTCAGTGCCAGGTCCAAGGTAAAGGCATCGCATGGTTCTCAGACCAAGCCCAGGGACGAGCCACAGGTGAGGTCGTCACAGGCCACGGCCCAGGCAAGGTCCTCAGGCACCAAGCGCAAGGCGGTAGAGCCGTGCACTTCGTCCGTTTTCACCTGCACCTCTACGGGCACTATTGAGGCCCTCGATGAATCCGAGTTTGAGCGAGCTTGTGTGCCCCCGAAGCGCTGCCCTTGGCTGGCCCACGCCACGGCACCGGCTGACCTCACTTTTCGGTGCAACTTGTGCCCTTACAAGCGCAAGGCCACGAGCAACCAGCAGTACTACCACACCCGCCACAACCACTACCAGCGTGCCCATGAGGGGCAGGGCCTGCAGCCGGACATTGGACGACCCAAGCTCACGCGGGTCTGCGGCCCAAGGGCTCGTTTCATTTGGTGTTGCGAGACTCGGAAGGACCTTTCCCGGTTCTCCTACTATGCCCTGCGCAACCAGCACCGTGCACAGGCCCACCCCGAGGTCTCCAAGGCTGAGTGGCAGCGTCTTGCGGCACTCCCGCAAACCGGGCCCAAGGATCGCCAGGCACATGCCAAAGGGTGCCGCCAGCGCAACCTCACCAAGGCCGTGTTCGCTCAAGTCAGGACCCCTCGCTTTGGAGACCAGATGCAGCTTTTTGTGTGGCCTCGAGCCAGGTGTGAGAAACGCAGCACCCGGGTCCAGCATGTCCTCCTTGAGCATGGTTGGAAGTGCCTCCGGTGCGGTGAGTGCACCAGGGACCTGGCCGCCGCCAAGCAGCATAGCGAGGGCCGGTGCAAGTCGCAGAGCAACACCCAGAAGCGGATCCAGAAACTTGATGCCATCGAGGCGTGGGCCCGGCGTGCCGGAGGTGACCCCGACTTCTGCTCCCAGGTGCTCCGTGCTGCCGCAGCTGCCAAGCTTGCCATCTCCACGCGAATCCCCTCCTTGCCGTGTTCATCAAGCTTTTGAGCATCAATGCGAACCGCACGGCCATTTCTAAAGTGGACCTGTGTGCCGATTTCCTTCAGTCGTGTGGGGCTGAGCTCTTGTCTCTTCAGGAGGCTGACATCAACCCTTTGTCGGCCCAGGGTTTCGGTGAGCGCTGGCGTGTCCACGGCTACCGGGCTGTTCTTAGCGACATTGATGCTGCCAAGGGTGTGCATAGGGTGGCCTTGGTCGCCTCCCTCCCCATGCATCGTGTGAACCTTAAGCTTCCTCCGCATGTGGCTGTGCGATGTGCTGCAGGTGCTTTTGAGATGCAGGCTGCTGGCAGCAAGTGCATCACTCTTGTGGTGGCCTTCTACGGCTTCCCTGGTCAGCCAGATGCCACAGCCCAGGCCTTAGGTGAGGTTAGGCGTGCAGCTGCGACCTTTGGGGGCCCCTACATCTTGCTCGGCGACTTCAATGTTGACCAGTCTGAGCAGGCTGTGGTGCAGCTGTTGTGCGACGGCGAGCTCCGGTCTCTGGATGAGGCGGACTGGACCCAAGCCGGCCCAACAAATCCCACGCGCACCCGGCGCATCGATTTTGGCTTGGCCCATTGGTCCATCATTGCGTCGGCTGTCAAGCAGTTCGAGCGCCCGAACCTCTCGGACCATGGGTGCGTCTTCTACGAAACGCGGTGCCTGAGCCGTGCCGACAGCTTCTCCATGCCTAAGTTTCGTGTGCTCCCTGCCACGGCCACTGATGACATCTTGTCTAACTTTGGTAGGGTCTGGGATGCCGCACACTTTGAGAGTTCTATTGCAGCTGGGTCTCTTGATGAAGCCTGGGCCTTCTTGTCAGACGTGGCCGAGCGCACGCTGGGTGCCACTTCGCTCTTCGATGCCTCCGGTGCCCGCAGGAGCGACCACTGGCTGGCTCCCTTGTGCCCGCCACGAGTCACACCATCGTGTCGGCCCCCAGGGTCATGAGTCCCAGTCCCTTCGTTCTTCTCGCAAGTTGCTTGGGCAATTGCACCAACTGCGGCAACAGCCCCACTGTCAGAAGCTGTGGCGTGCGGTGGGCCGTCGGGCTGGGCTCCTGCGTGCCACTTTTCCCGACTTGCCCGTGATACATGCTGCCAACCTTGAAGGTGCCACCCAGGTGATCTCTCATTTGCATGCCGAGCTTCAGCAGCAGGAGACGGAGGCCAGAGTGCACAGGTGGCGTCGCCGTGTTGAGGAGGACCCTTCTCGTGCCCTCGCTTGGGTCAAGCGCAAAGCTGACCATCAGTTGGCCATGGAGCAATCTCCTCAGGCCCCTGCTGGTGTCCCTTCCTCTGTTCACCCTGCCTCTATTGTCGAGGAGCATGGCAAAGTGTGGCTGCAGCACTGGAAGCCGGAGTCCCCTGTCAACTTCGATGCCGTGCAGCGCATCCTTGACCGTGTCCCGGGCGGGCCGCAATCGGACATCGTGCTCCAGGTCGAGGCTGAGGCTCTGATGCGGGCCACCAAGGCAATGCGGGGGAAGGCGATGGGACCCGACCGCCGACCGATGGTCGGCGGAGCTTCTCCTCCGCCTTCCTGTGCAGCGGCGGCCACTTTGTGGAATGCGGTGCTCTCCACGCAGTACGTCCCTCGACTCTGGCGCCGGGCACTGATTGCCCTGGTGCCGAAGCGCCTGGATGAGTACCGCCCGATCGCATTGTGCCCGGTCATCTGGCGAGCTGGTGCCCACTGCATCTCTCGCAATTTGCTGCCGTGGATGGACACGTGGCTGGGCCACCACACTTTGGGCGGTGCACCATGTCGAGGCCCGGGCGACGCTCATGCCCGACTTTTTCATGCGTGGCAGAGCGGCTGCAAAGTCTTTTGCCAGCAGGATCTAACGCGGTTCTTTGACTCACTTGATGTCAAGGCGGTGGGTATGGTGCTTCGGCACCTTGGTGCCCCTGTTGGCCTCGCTGAGCTCTTAGCCTCCTTCTACCAGGATGCCTCGAAGCTTTTTCTGCACGAGGGCCGGTCCAGCAGTGCATGGGGCAGCCCAGCGCGGGGCCTGGCGCAGGGATGCCCTCTCTCTCCAATGGCCGCGGTCGCGGTCGGCCATATCTGGGCCATGTGGGTCCAGTCCTTTGCCAAGGGACGCACCGACTGCCTCATCTTTATAGACGACCGTGTGCTGTGGCCTTCCTGCACGTGTGTGGACCCCCTTGGGGCAATGGATGTGGCATTGAGGGCTTCTGACTCCTTCGACCAAGCCTTCGGTTTCCAGTGCCGTGCCAGCAAGTGTGCTGTGGTGTGTCCACCCGACGTCGGGACTTTCGATCAGTGGGCCAGTGCCAGGAGCTACCCACGCGTGACTACTTTAAAGGTGCTGGGCATCACCCTCGACATGCAGGAGGGTGCCCTGGGGCTCCTTAAGTTTAGCCCGCGTCTGCTCCTGCATCGCCTTCGTTTCCTCAAGCTCCTGGGAGGGGAGGTGCCCCAGCTCCGTCGCATCGTGCTGCAGCTGGTCCACTCGGCCATGTTTTGGGCCGGTGGTGTCGCTTGCCCGGATCGCGACTGCTTGCGCGATGTCTGGCACTCCACCTGTGCTGTCCTGCAAAAGCACGCCACCTTCGAGTCACCAAAAGTCTTGCTGTGTGCCTCCTTTGGCTGGATGTTGGACCCTGAATGGGCGGCGGACTGGGCATCCCTGCGGGCTGCCTGGCGGTTCAAGGCTCGGCCCCCGGCATGGCTCGACACGGCTGGGCTTGATGTTGCTTGTGGTGACTGGCGTCGCTTCCTCCCTGGTGCGGCGGCGGTTGTGCAGAGGTTAGGCTGGCAGGTCCACGGCAACGGCGCCACCCTGGCGCGAGTCGACGATTCCGGTGCCCTTCGTCAGTGCCACCTTGGCTGGGAATCCTTTGATGTGGTCAAGCGCTGGCTGGTGGACCACTACAAGTGGCGGGGTGTGCACGCCTGTGGGCGGATCCGAAATTGCCGCCATCGTGATGATGCGACTCTGGCCCGTGGCCTCAGCTTGGGGGCCCCACTCCGCAGTGCCCGGTTTGCGCTCGAAGGCCACCGACTCGCAGTTGCGGCTGAGCCTACCCGTGAAGTTCGCCTTGCAGCACTGGGCTCGGGCGGCTCCATTTGGTACCACTGCAAACGGCTGGAGATGAGCTCACCCGACACCACGGCGTGTGTTTGTGGCCTCGTGCAACCTAGCCGAGCGCACCTCACCTGGTGTTGCACCTCAACGACGGAATTGCGGCAAGGTCTCGCACCTCCCTCCACCCGTGCTGGTGAACGGCTCTTTGCAGCCGAAATCCCTGAGTACCCTGCAGCCCCTGCAGCTTCGGACTTTGAAAACACCCTTCAGAGCATCGTGGCGCATCTTCGCAACTTCGCTACTGTGGGCGAGCGTCTGCTCGTCGCGACCGATGGCAGTGCTAAGTTTGACGTCGGTGGCTGCGCCGTGATCTTCGAGAGCGGTGATGGCACCTTCGTCTTCGGTGATGCCTGTGAGGATCAATCGGCTTTTCGATGTGAGCTCCTCACCTTGACGACCCTCTTCGAGGCGATCTCTCGTGCGCAGTTGGCTCCAGGCTGTCAGGTTGGCATTCTGGTGGATTGTAGCTCTGCTCTTCAGGCTGTGGCCCAACCTGGGGCGTGCTCCATGCCTCTTCTGGCCCACAAGGCTGCGAGGCTGCTGCGTGATGTGCGTGCCAGTGGCTTGGACCTGAGGCTTTCATGGACTCCTGCACATGGCCGGCGGCCCACCTGGACTGCTCCCTGGGGTCTGACTGCCGCCCGCTGCAGGCACCTCAATGACCGGGCCGACGCGGCCGCAAACAGCATTCGCGAACAACGAGCTCACGGCTCGTGCAGGGTGAGCTGGCATGCTGAGCTGCATCGTGCCGCGATCTGGGAGCGCGGGGCCATCTTGGCTTCGGCTGGTGCTTCCAACGTGCTGGCGCAGCATCTTCGTACAAGGCGGCCGGCCCGTATCATTCAAGATGATCCGTGAAACTCGCCACGACACTGAACACTTGCATCGTTGACGGCTTCTACGGTGGCTCCTTCGGTGAACTACGTGCTGTCCTACTTCCTCTGGCTGCCGTCGCTGGCTGCTGGCTGCGGGGCGTGCTGCGGGGCGTGGGCTGCTGGCTGAGGCGCGCTGCTGTGTCCCTCTGAGTTCCCACGTCGAGTCCATCTGAAGCCGTAGAGGTGTACAGCTGCTCTGCACGTCACTTCGATGCTGCTTAGGCTCTCGCTAGGCAGTTTGTGCTTGCTGTGTAGCCCTGCACCTCTCCTTTTAGCAAACCCGAGCCAAAGGCTCACGTTCTTCTCGGCTCTTCAGAGCCTTAGCTTTCACGCATCGGCTAATTACGCCTCTGCGACTCTAGTTTGTTTGGTCCTTCATGCCTCAGCTTCAAGCACCTTGGATTGTACAGCTGTCACATGTCCTCTGCTTGTAAGCTCCATGCTCGACCTTTTAGGATCGGTTTCACAACCGACAACCAAAGACGTTACTGGACGCAGCTCGGGACTTCGTTGCGATGCCCGAGTTTTGCCCGCACCGCAGTTAGGCGTGAGAACACGCAGCTTGGGCCCGAGACGGGAACTCCGCGAGTTCCAAGCTGGACAATACCGTAGGTAGGCTCGGTGGCTAAGTCCGTCTCGACTGTGCCATGGCTCCTTCCTCGGGGGGCGCTGTGGGTGCTGAGCGGAAAAGGATGATGGATTTGGCGGCCATGGAGGCCGCGACGTCGAGTACTCAGCTGATCCTACCTGTCAGCTACAGAAAGTTCAGGGGAGTTGCGCCGCGCAACTATGTTCTCAAAGCTATGCTTGAGGGTGAGCATGCTTCCATCGAAGACTTTCTGGAAAGGCTCAATGAGGATGCAAGTGCAGTTGTGGGATCGGCTGTGCTTGTGGATGAGCTCTTTCATGTACGTGAAGCCCTCGTTCTTCTCTGGACCGAGCAGCTGACAAAGCGGTGTGATGGCGACCCACCTTGGGTGGAGCGCCTCCAGGCGATGGGACATTTCCCGAGCACTACCCTGTGGTTTGCTGACGGGGACTTTGGCCTTGCTCCGGCGGAGGCCTATCGCGATGCAAATGTCCAGCCGCAGCGGGGCAGCCGGGAGCAAGTGGCAGCAGCGCTGCCGCTCTCTGGTGGGCGACCTGGCGCTGGGGTGGAAGCTGAGCTGGTGACGCGGCCGGCTGCTGACGAGATTGAGGAGGATGCGGAGCCGGCTGGGCTTCCCGAAGTGGAGGCGACCAACCATGGCGATGCTGCTCTTCCTTTGCAAAGTTTGCAGCCGGCGGTCAGAGGTGGTAGCGTAAGGGCCCCGACCCGAGAACCGCGAAAAATCAAAGAAGATCCGTGGAAGGACAAAGAGCCACCTAGCCCGGCCTCTCCCTGCCTCCTTGGTAACATGTTTTCTAAGACCGGCCCGTTCGGGGCCCCCTCCGAAAGTAGCTCTCCTTGCCGCCATGGCCTCGGTGCTGCAGCTCTCGGCCTGTGTCAGTGTCAGTCCCCTGCCTCTTGCGAACCGGCAGGTGTGGACTTCCTCGGGGGCCCCCTGGGCGCCACGGCCCAAGGTGGCAGTGCGATCGAGCAAAGCTGTGGCACGGACTTTCTTGGCGGCCCCATCTGGACGGTGATGCAAGCGCATGCATTTCCTAGTGCCAGTGTGGATCATGTGCAGCCTGTGCAGCAATCCCTTCCGTGCCTTCCGGTGTGTGTGCAGTTTGGGCTTCCTGCCCTCCAGCGCTGCTTTGCATTCCTGCAAGGTGTCCGTGTGGGTGAGGCAAAGCACCCGGGTCCGCGAGACCCACCAGCAGTGATTACCTGGAACTGGCATGTGGGGTTTAGGTTCGGCGAAGCTTCGCACCCAGGCCCTGCTGAGCCTACGAGCCGAGGTGATGGATGCCATCCCCCTTTCCCCTCTTGGGTTTTAGGTCCTCCGCGACGCCAGCAGCCGGCCCCGGCGCCGCTAGGCCCCCTAGAGGTTGAGTGTGCACCTAGGTGCTGCGTGACAGGCCGCCGGGCCCCTGCAGGCGAGCCGATGCTTAGTGTGTGCCATGACTGGAAGAGGGGATGCCGCCTGGGCGAGGCTTCTCACCCTGGGCCTGGCTTCAACCTTGACCTTGGTAACCTTGGGGATAGCCTTGGCGATAGCATCATGAAGTCGATCAAGGAGCAGATCCAAAAGGCAGTTGATGAGGCAGTAAAGCAGGCCCTGGCGTCGCTCAATCTCGGCCGGGGCGTGGCTGCTGCCCGGCCGTCCGGCGATCCAGCCATGCAGCTCGAGCCAAAGGGAAGGCGCAAGAGGAAGCGTAAGGCCAAGCAGGCCACGAGCCACCCAGGTGGCAGGCCCGACGCTTCGGGCAGTGAGTGTGCAGGTGGCCGCCAGAGCGCAGCCAAAGGCAAGGGCAAACCTGCAGAAAAACCAGGCCCAGCCAAGGTGGCCCAGCGCGGTGGCCCAGGTGACTCAGGTCAACGCCGGGGCAAGGGCAAAGGCGGTTGCGGTGAGGCAGGCGGGCAGGAAGCCGGTGATGGCTGGAGGGTCATCCAACGCAGGGCCCCGGAAGGCGCCTTCAAGCTCCGAAAATCTGATTGGGACGCTCCGGTCGTTGAGTACGCTGCCCTCGCTGAGTTCATTGACAAGGCTGATGCCAGCAAGGTCCTCGAAATTGTAGTTTTTGTTTCGGCCGACCAGGTCACGCTTGCTACGAACATTCTGCGGGGGAGCGGGCTGAGTTTCAAGGCCCTGCTTGTTTTTCTCTCCAAGGATGAGGAGGCTCAGCGCATCCCGGGCACCATTGGGGATCGCCTGGTGTTTAGGACTGCCAAGGTCCAGAAGCTCACGTCTGCAGGTGCCAGTGGCCACGCTCCGCAGCCCACCGGCCTGAGCCAAACGTCCATCAAGATCAGACCCACTGAAAGTGCAGTTGTATACTTTAAGGTGCCAAAGCAGTTCGCCTCAGCCGACACTTGGAAGGCTTTCGGGGGCAATGCCTCCAAGGCCGCTGTAGACTGGGTCGCGGCCCACAGGATCAAGGTGCTCGACACTTTTGCCTGGGTCCTGGAAAAGCAGCGCAACGACACTCATGAGCAGTACTTCGGCATTGTTCGCATTCCGAAGGCAGACATTGAGGGCATCCTGGCCCACTCTGGCAAGGACGGTGTCTTCGTGGATGCCGCTCGCACCTCAGGGCCCCGGGCGAAGCTTCAATGGATCGAGAAGCTTCCTGGCGAGAAGGTGGACGCCTACTTTGAACGTGCCCTGCGCCAGGCTCCCAGCCTGGGCTTAGTCGTCAATGGGGGGCGATTGGCGTGGCGAAGTGCCATGGCGGACGGAGAAGCAACGGTGCGCATCTGGCACATGGATGGTGTGCCCCACGAGTGGGATGCGGATGCCGTCGGCCAGCTCTTGGCCACACGCTTCACTGAGTACACCATTCTATCGCATCGGCGCACCCGCCTCGGATCCTGCTTTCGCTTCCGTGGGCAACCTGGAACTGCAGACACTGACCTGGTGCCGTTCGTCGTCGAGCATAAGGAGAAGCCCTTGTCCCTGTGGGCAACGCTGGCACCTTTCCGTGTCGTCTCCAAGAAGCAGAAGCCTCTCGCCTCGAAGGCCGTCCCGGTCGTTGCTCTCGAGAAGCCTGTCGGTGCCACCACCGTCAAACCTCCCACGGGGGAGCTCGCCACGGGCGAGGACGGCAAGGAAGTGCCCCAGCAGAAGCGTGTCAAGCAGGAGGTGCGCACCAAGCCAGGTGACCTCCAGCTCCAGGCATGCCCTCGTGACGGGGCCTGTGTACTGCATGCCATGAGCCTCGGCCTTCAGTGGCTCGGGGACTCTCGGCCCAATCACCCGCGCATGCTCCGTGCGCAAATGGTCGATCACATGCGCCGGCATGTCACCCAGTACGAGAAGGAATGGGACGGCAAGGGGCCGGACGGCGAGCCGGTCAAGGACCGGGATTTCTCCGCATACCTCACTCTCATGGAGAAGGAGGGGGCGTACTGCTCGGATGTCGAGCTGAGGGCCCTGGGCCGTGTGCTGGACATCAAAATCGTCGTGCTGCCGGCGGGCCTCAACTTCTCTCCTTACGCCTTTCATGGCAAAGCTGCCAAGATGCTGGTGTTGTGGTATGAAGATAACCATGTGGATCTTATGCTCCCGCCCGAGGGTCACAAGAAGTATCCAAGTGAGTATGCCCAGATCACAGCCGGACCCGTCTTTGGCCTGCGTGCTGGTGGCCGTGGGCCCCCATCGGTCTTCACTGCCTCCTCTGCTGCCTGTGTTCGGTCCCGGCCTTCCTCTCAGTGGACTTCGGTCATGAACGACGAAGGGGCAAAATCCCAGGCCCGCCCGGCATCGGTTTGGACCACCTCGATGCAGGCGAGCACCTTGGGGAGTGCCGCGAGGCGGCCCTTGATCGCAGCCCAGCCCTCTTTGCAAGGTAGGCGGCCCAGGTCACAGGTTCCACAGGCAAGGTCTTCAGGCTGCCAGGTGCCGTCGCAGGCAAAGGTGCAGGCATTTTCCCGGCCGTGCTCACTCAGTGCCAGGTCCAAGGTAAAGGCATCGCATGGTTCTCAGACCAAGCCCAGGGATGAGCCACAGGTGAGGTCGTCACAGGCCACGGCCCAGGCAAGGTCCTCAGGCACCAAGCGCAAGGCGGTAGAGCCGGGCACTTCGTCCGTTTTCACCTGCACCTCTACGGGCACTATTGAGGCCCTCGATGAATCCGAGTTTGAGCGAGCTCGTGTGCCCCCGAAGCGCTGCCCTTGGCTGGCCCACGCCACGGCACCGGCTGACCTCACTTTTCGGTGCAACTTGTGCCCTTACAAGCGCAAGGCCACGAGCAACCAGCAGTACTACCACATCCGCCACAACCACTACCAGCGTGCCCATGAGGGGCAGGGCCTGCAGCCGGATATCGGACGACCCAAGCTCACGCGGGTCTGCGGCCCAAGGGCTCGTTTCATTTGGTGTTGCCCTCTGTGCAACAAGGGCATCACGCAAGAGACTCGGAAGGACCTTTCCCGGTTCTCCTACTATGCCCTGCGCAACCAGCACCGTGCACAGGCCCACCCCGAGGTCTCCAAGGCTGAGTGGCAGCGTCTTGCGGCACTCCCGCAAACCGGGCCCAAGGATCGCCAGGCACATGCCAAAGGGTGCCGCCAGCGCAACCTCACCAAGGCCGTGTTCGCTCAAGTCAGGACCCCTCGCTTTGGAGACCAGATGCAGCTTTTTGTGTGGCCTCGAGCCAGGTGTGAGAAACGCAGCACCCGGGTCCAGCATGTCCTCCTTGAGCATGGTTGGAAGTGCCTCCGGTGCGGTGAGTGCACCAGGGACCTGGCCGCCGCCAAGCAGCATAGCGAGGGCCGGTGCAAGTCGCAGAGCAACACCCAGAAGCGGATCCAGAAACTTGATGCCATCGAGGCGTGGGCCCGGCGTGCCGGAGGTGATCCCGACTTCTGCTCCCAGGTGCTCCGTGCTGCCGCAGCTGCCAAGCTTGCCATCTCCACGCGAATCCCCTCCTTGCCGTGTTCATCAAGCTTTTGAGCATCAATGCGAACCGCACGGCCATTTCCAAAGTGGACCTGTGTGCCGATTTCCTTCAGTCGTGTGGGGCTGAGCTCTTGTCTCTTCAGGAGGCTGACATCAACCCTTTGTCGGCCCAGGGTTTCGGTGAGCGCTGGCGTGTCCACGGCTACCGGGCTGTTCTTAGCGACATTGATGCGGCCAAGGGTGTGCATAGGGTGGCCTTGGTCGCCTCCCTCCCCATGCATCGTGTGAACCTTAAGCTTCCTCCGCATGTGGCTGTGCGATGTGCTGCAGGGGCTTTTGAGATGCAGGCTGCTGGCAGCAAGTGCATCACTCTTGTGGTGGCCTTCTACGGCTTCCCTGGTCAGCCAGATGCCACAGCCCAGGCCTTAGGTGAGGTTAGGCGTGCAGCTGCGACCTTTGGGGGCCCCTACATCTTGCTCGGCGACTTCAATGTTGACCAGTCTGAGCAGGCTGTGGTGCAGCTGTTGTGCGATGGCGAGCTCCGGTCTCTGGACGAGGCGGACTGGACCCAAGCCGGCCCAACAAATCCCACGCGCACCCGGCGCATCGATTTTGGCTTGGCCCATTGGTCCATCATTGCGTCGGCTGTCAAGCAGTTCGAGCGCCCGAACCTCTCGGACCATGGGTGCGTCTTCTACGAAACGCGGTGCCTGAGCCGTGCCGACAGCTTCTCCATGCCTAAGTTTCGTGTGCTCCCTGCCACGGCCACTGATGACATCTTGTCTAACTTTGGTAGGGTCTGGGATGCCGCACACTTTGAGAGTTCTATTGCAGCTGGGTCTCTTGATGAAGCCTGGGCCTTCTTGTCAGACGTGGCCGAGCGCACGCTGGGTGCCACTTCGCTCTTCGATGCCTCCGGTGCCCGCAGGAGCGACCACTGGCTCCCTTGTGCCCGCCATGAGTCACACCATCGTGTCGGCCCCCAGGGTCATGAGTCCCAGTCCCTTCGTTCTTCTCGCAAGTTGCTTGGGCAATTGCACCAACTGCGGCAACAGCCCCACTGTCAGAAGCTGTGGCGTGCGGTGGGCCGTCGGGCTGGGCTCCTGCGTGCCACTTTTCCCGACTTGCCCGTGATACATGCTGCCAACCTTGAAGGTGCCACCCAGGTGATCTCTCATTTGCATGCCGAGCTTCAGCAGCAGGAGACGGAGGCCAGAGTGCACAGGTGGCGTCGCCATGTTGAGGAGGACCCTTCTCGTGCCCTCGCTTGGGTCAAGCGCAAAGCTGACCATCAGTTGGCCATGGAGCAATCTCCTCAGGCCCCTGCTGGTGTCCCTTCCTCTGTTCACCCTGCCTCTGTTGTCGAGGAGCATGGCAAAGTGTGGCTGCAGCACTGGAAGCCGGAGTCCCCTGTCAACTTCGATGCCGTGCAGCGCATCCTTGACCGTGTCCCGGGCGGGCCGCAATCGGACATCGTGCTCCAGGTCGAGGCTGAGGCTCTGATGCGGGCCACCAAGGCAATGCGGGGGAAGGCGATGGGACCCGACCGATGGTCGGCGGAGCTTCTCCTCCGCCTTCCTGTGCAGTGGCGGGAAGCGGCGGCCACTTTGTGGAATGCGGTGCTCTCCACGCAGTACGTCCCTCGACTCTGGCGCCGGGCACTGATTGCCCTGGTGCCGAAGCGCCTGGATGAGTACCGCCCGATCGCATTGTGCCCGGTCATCTGGCGAGCTGGTGCCCACTGCATCTCTCGCAATTTGCTGCCGTGGATGGACACGTGGCTGGGCCACCACACCTTGGGCGGTGCACCATGTCGAGGCCCGGGCGACGCTCATGCCCGACTGTTTCATGCGTGGCAGAGCGGCTGCAAAGTCTTTTGCCAGCAGGATCTAACGCGGTTCTTTGACTCACTTGATGTCAAGGCGGTGGGTATGGTGCTTCGGCACCTTGGTGCCCCTGTTGGCCTCGCTGAGCTCTTAGCCTCCTTCTACCAGGATGCCTCGAGGCTTTTTCTGCACGAGGGCCGGTCCAGCAGTGCATGGGGCAGCCCAGCGCGGGGCCTGGCGCAGGGATGCCCTCTCTCTCCAATGGCCGCGGTCGCGGTCGGCCATATCTGGGCCATGTGGGTCCAGTCCTTTGCCAAGGGACGCACCGACTGCCTCATCTTTATAGACGACCGTGTGCTGTGGCCTTCCTGCACGTGTGTGGACCCCCTTGGGGCAATGGATGTGGCATTGAGGGCTTCTGACTCCTTCGACCAAGCCTTCGGTTTCCAGTGCCGTGCCAGCAAGTGTGCTGTGGTGTGTCCACCCGATGTCGGGACTTTCGACCAGTGGGCCAGTGCCAGGAGCTACCCACGCGTGACTACTTTAAAGGTGCTGGGCATCACCCTCGACATGCAGGAGGGTGCCCTGGGGCTCCTTAAGTTTAGCCCGCGTCTGCTCCTGCATCGCCTTCGTTTCCTCAAGCTCCTGGGAGGGGAGGTGCCCCAGCTCCGTCGCATCGTGCTGCAGCTGGTCCACTCGGCCATGTTTTGGGCCGGTGGTGTCGCTTGCCCGGATCGCGACTGCTTGCGCGATGTCTGGCACTCCACCTGTGCTGTCCTGCAAAAGCACGCCACCTTCGAGTCTCCAAAAGTCTTGCTGTGTGCCTCCTTTGGCTGGATGTTGGACCCTGAATGGGCGGCGGACTGGGCATCCCTGCGGGCTGCCTGGCGGTTCAAGGCTCGGCCCCCGGCATGGCTCGACACGGCTGGGCTTGATGTTGCTTGTGGTGACTGGCGTCGCTTCCTCCCTGGTGCGGCGGCGGTTGTGCAGAGGTTAGGCTGGCAGGTCCACGGCAACGGCGCCACCCTGGCGCGAGTCGACGATTCCGGTGCCCTTCGTCAGTGCCACCTTGGCTGGGAATCCTTTGATGTGGTCAAGCGCTGGCTGGTGGACCACTACAAGTGGCGGGGTGTGCACGCCTGTGGGCGGATCCGAAATTGCCGCCATCGTGATGATGCGACTCTGGCCCGTGGCCTCAGCTTGGGGGCCCCGCTCCGCAGTGCCCGGTTTGCGCTCGAAGGCCACCGGCTCGCAGTTGCGGCTGAGCCTACCCGTGAAGTTCGCCTTGCAGCACTGGGCTCGGGCGGCTCCATTTGGTACCACTGCAAACGGCTGGAGATGAGCTCACCCGACACCACGGCGTGTGTTTGTGGCCTCTTGCAACCTAGCCGAGCGCACCTCACCTGGTGTTGCACCTCAACGACGGAATTGCGGCAAGGTCTCGCACCTCCTTCCACCCGTGCTGGTGAACGGCTCTTTGCAGCCGAAATCCCTGAGTACCCTGCAGCTCCTGCAGCTTCGGACTTTGAAAACACCCTTCAGAGCATCGTGGCGCATCTTCGCAACTTCGCTACTGTGGGCGAGCGTCTGCTCGTCGCGACCGATGGCAGTGCTAAGTTTGACGTCGGTGGCTGCGCCGTGATCTTCGAGAGCGGTGATGGCACCTTCGTCTTCGGTGATGCCTGTGAGGATCAATCGGCTTTTCGATGTGAGCTCCTCACCTTGACGACCCTCTTCGAGGCGATCTCTCGTGCGCAGTTGGCTCCAGGCTGTCAGGTTGGCATTCTGGTGGATTGTAGCTCTGCTCTTCAGGCTGTGGCCCAACCTGGGGCGTGCTCCATGCCTCTTCTGGCCCACAAGGCTGCGAGGCTGCTGCGTGATGTGCGTGCCAGTGGCTTGGACCTGAGGCTTTCATGGACTCCTGCACATGGCCGGCGGCCCACCTGGACTGCTCCCTGGGGTCTGACTGCCGCCCGCTGCAGGCACCTCAATGACCGGGCCGATGCGGCCGCAAACAGCATTCGCGAACAACGAGCTCACGGCTCGTGCAGGGTGAGCTGGCATGCTGAGCTGCATCGTGCCGCGATCTGGGAGCGCGGGGCCATCTTGGCTTCGGCTGGTGCTTCCAACGTGCTGGCGCAGCATCTTCGTACAAGGCGGCCGGCCCGTATCATTCATGATGATCCGTGAAACTCGCCACGACACTGAACAGTTGCATCGTTGACGGCTTCTACGGTGGCTCCTTCGGTGAACTACGTGCTGCCCTACTTCCTCTGGCTGCCGTCGCTGGCTGCTGGCTGCGGGGCGTGCTGCGGGGCGTGGGCTGCTGGCTGAGGCGCGCTGCTGTGTCCCTCTGAGTTCCTACGTCGAGTCCATCTGAAGCCGTAGAGGTGTACAGCTGCTCTGCACGTCACTTTGATGCTGCTTAGGCTCTCACTAGGCAGTTTGTGCTTGCTGTGTAGCCCTGCACCTCTCCTTTTTAGCAAACCCGAGCCAAAGGCTCACGTTCTTCTCGGCTCTTCTGAGCCTTAGCTTTCACGCATCGGCTAATTACGCCTCTGCGACTCTAGTTTGTTTGGTCCTTCATGCCTCAGCTTCAAGCACCTTGGATTGTACAGCTGTCACATGTCCTCTGCTTGCAAGCTCCATGCTCGACCTTTTAGGATCGGTTTCACAACCGACAACCAAAGACGTTACCGGACGCAGCTCGGGACTTCGTTGCGATGCCCGAGTTTTGCCCGCACCGCAGTTAGGCGTGAGAACACGCAGCTTGGGCCCGAGACGGGAACTCCGCGAGTTCCAAGCTGGACAACACCGTAGGTAGGCTCGGTGGCTAAGTCTGTCTCGACCGTGCCATGGCTCCTTCTTCGGGGGGCGCTGTGGGTGCTGAGCGACAAAGGATGATGGATTTGGCGGCCATGGAGGCCGCGACGTCGAGTACTCAGCTGATCCTACCTGTCAGCTACAGAAAGTTCAGGGGAGTTGCGCCGCGCAACTATGTTCTCAAAGCTATGCTTGAGGGTGAGCATGCTTCCATCGAAGACTTCCTGGAAAGGCTCAATGAGGATGCAAGTGCAGTTGTGGGTTCGGCTGTGCTTGTGGATGAGTTCTTTCGTGAACGTGAAGCCCTCGTTCTTCTCTGGACCGAGCAGCTGACAAAGCGGTGTGATGGCGACCCACCTTGGGTGGAGCGCCTCCAGGCGATGGGACATTTCCCGAGCACTACCCTGTGGTTTGCTGACGGGGACTTTGGCCTTGCTCCGGCGGAGGCCTATCGCGATGCAAATGTCCAGCAGCAGCGGGGCAGCCGGGAGCAAGTGGCAGCTGGGCTGCCGCCTTCTGGTGGGCGACCTGGTGCTGGGGCGGACGATGAGCTGGCGACGCGGCCGGCTGCTGGCGAGACTGAGGAGGATGCGGGGCTGGCTGGGCTTTCCGAAGTGGAGGCGACCAACCATGGCGACGCTGCTCTTCCTTTGCAGCCGGCGGCCAAATGTAGTAGCGTAAGGGCCCCGACCCGAGAACCGCGAAAAATCAAAGAAGATCCGTGGAAGGACAAAGAGCCACCTAGCCCGGCCTCTCCCTGCCTCCTTGGTAACATGTCTTCTAAGACCGGCCCGTTCGGGGCCCCCTCCGAGAGTAGCTCCCCTTGCCGCCATGGCCTCGGTGCTGCAGCTCTCGGCCTGTGTCAGTGTCAGTCCCCTGCCTCTTGCGAACCGGCAGGTGTGGACTTCCTCGGGGGCCCCCTGGGCGCCACGGCCCAAGGTGGCAGTGCGATCGAGCAGAGCTGTGGCACGGATTTTCTTGGCGGCCCCATCTGGACGGTGCCGCAAGCGCATGCATATCCTAGTGCCAGTGTGGATCATGTGCAGCCTGTGCAGCAATCCCTTCCGTGCCTTCCGGTGTGTGTGCAATTTGGGCTTCCTGCTCTTCAGCGCTGCTTTGCATTCCTGCAAGGTGTCCGTGTGGGTGAGGCAAAGCACCCGGGTCCGCGAGGCCCACCAGCAGTGATTGCCTGGAACTGGCATTTGGGGTTTAGGTTCGGTGAAGCTTCGCACCCGGGCCCTGCTGAGCCCACGAGCCGAGGTGATGGATGCCATTCCCCTTTCCCCTCTTGGGTTCTAGGTCCTCCGCGACGCCAGCAGCCGGCCCCGGCGCCGCTAGGCCCCCTAGGGTTTGAGTGTGCACCTAGGTGCTGTGTGACAGGCCGCCGGGCCCCTGCAGGCGAGCCGATGCTTTGTGTGTGCCATGACTGGAAGCGGCGATGCCGCCTGGGCGAGGCCTCTCACCCTGGGCCTGGCTTCAACCTTGACCTTGGCAACCTTGGGGATAGCCTTGGCGATAGCATCATGAAGTCGATCAAGGAGCAAATCCAGAAGGCAGTTGACGAGGCAGTAAAGCAGGCCCTGGCGTCGCTCAACCTCGGCCGGGGCTTGGCTGCTGCCCGGCCGTCCGGCGATCCAGACGTGCAGCTCGAGCCAAAGAGCAGGCGCAAGAGGAAACGTAAGGCCAAGCAGGCCACGAGCCACCCAGGTGGCAAGCCCGACATTCCGGGCAGCGAGCGTGCAGGTGGCCGCCAGAGCGCAGCCAAAGGCAAGGGCAAGCCTGAAGACAAGTCCGGCCCAGCCAAGGTGGCCCAGCGAGGTGGCCCAGGCGACTCAGGTCAACGCCGGGGCAAGGGCAAGGGCGGCTGTGGTGAGGCAGGCGGGCAGGAAGCCGGTGATGGCTGGCAGATCGTCCATCGCAAGGCCCCGGAAGGCCCCTTCAAGCTTCGAAAATCTGATTGGGACGCTCCGGTCGTTGAGTATGCTGCCCTCGCTGAGTTCATTGACAAGGCTGATGCCAGCAAGGTCCTCGAACTTGTAGTCTTTGTTTCGGCCGACCAGGTCACGCTTGCTACGAACATTCTGCGTGGGAGCGGGCTGAACTTCAAGGCCTTGCTCGTTTTCCTCTCCAAGGATGAGGACGCCCAGCGCATCCCGGGCACCATTGGGGAGCGCCTGGTGTTTAGGACTGCCAAGGTCCAGAAGCTCACGTCTGCAGGTGCCAGTGGCCATGCTCCGCAGCCCACCGGCCTGAGCCAAACGTCCATCAAGATCAAACCCACTGAAAGTGCAGTCGTCTACTTTAAGGTGCCAAAGCAGTTCGCCTCAGCCGACACTTGGAAGGCTTTCGGGGGCAACGCCTCCAAGGCCGCTGTAGACTGGGTCGCGGCCCACAGGATCAAGGTGCTCGACACTTTTGCCTGGGTCCTGGAAAAGCAGCGCAACGACACTCATGAGCAGTACTTCGGCATTGTTCGCATTCCGAAGGCAGACATTGAGGGCATCCTGGCCCACTCTGGCAAGGACGGTGTCTTCGTGGATGCCGCTCGCACTTCAGGGCCCCGGGCGAAGCTCCAATGGATCGAGAAGCTTCCCGGCGAGAAGGTGGACGCCTACTTTGAACGTGCCCTGCGCCAGGCTCCCAGCCTGGGCTTGGTCGTCAATGGGGGGCGATTGGCGTGGCGCAGTGCCATGGCGGCCGGAGAAGCAACGGTGCGCATCTGGCACATCGATGGTGTGCCCCACGAGTGGGATGCGGATGCCATCGGCCAGCTTTTGGCCACACGCTTCACTGAGTACACCATCCTGTCGCATCGGCGCACCCGCCTTGGATCCTGCTTTCGCTTCCGTGGGCAGCCTGGAACCGCAGACACGGACCTGGTGCCGTTCGTCGTCGAGCATCAGGAGAAGCCCTTGTCCCTGTGGGCAACGCTGGCACCTTTCCGTGTCGTCTCCAAGAAGCAAAAGCCTCTCGCCTCGAAGGCCGTCCCGGTCGTTGCTCTCGAACAGCCTGTCGTTGCCACCACCGTCAAACCTCCCACGGGGGAGCTGGCTACGGGCGAGGACGGCAAGGAAGTGCCCCAGCAGAAGCGTGTCAAGCAGGAGGTTCGCACCAAGCCGGGTGACCTCCAGCTCAAGGCTTGCCCTCGTGACGGGGCCTGCGTGCTACATGCCATGAGCCTCGGCCTTCAGTGGCTCGGGGACTCTCGGCCCAATCACCCGCGCATGCTCCGTGCGCAGATGGTCGATCACATGCGCCGGCATGTCGCCCAGTACGAGAAGGAATGGGACGGCAAAGGGCCGGACGGCCAGCCGGTCAAGGACCGGGATTTCTCCGCCTACCTCACTCTTATGGAGAAGGAGGGGGCCTACTGCTCGGATGTCGAGCTGAGGGCCCTGGGCCGTGTGCTGGACATCAAAATCGTCGTGCTGCCGGCGGGCCTCAACTTTGCACCTTACGCCTTTCATGGCAAAGCTGCCAAGATGCTGGTGTTGTGGTACGAGGATAACCACGTGGATCTCATGCTCCCGGCCGAGGGTCACAAGAAGTATCCAAGTGAGTATGCCCAGATCACAGCTGGACCCGTCTTTGGCCTACGTGCTGGGGGCCGTGGGCCCCCATCGGTCTTCACTGCCTCCTCTGCTGTCAGTGTGCGATCCCAGCCTTCCTCTCAGTGGACATCGGTCATCGCCGGCGAAGGGGCAAAATCCCAGGCTCGCCCGGCATCCGTTTGGACCACCTCGATGCCGGCGAGCGCCTCGGGGAGTGCGGCGGGCCGGCCCTCGATTGCAGCCCAGCCCTCTTTGCAAGGTAGGCGGCCCAGGTCACAGGGTTCACAGGCAAGGTCTTCAGGCAGCAGGGTGCCGTCGCAGGCAAAGTTGCGGGTCCTTTCCCGGCCGTGCTCACTCAGTGCCAGGTGCAAGGCAAAGGCATCGCATGGCTCTCAGACCAAGCCCAGGGGCGAGCCACAGGCGAGGTCATTACAGGCCACGGCCCAGGCAAGGTCCTCAGGCACCAAGCGCAAGGCGGTGGAGCTGTGCACCTCGTCCGTCTTCACCTGCACCTCCACTGGCACGATCGAGGCCTTCGATGCATCCGAGTTTGTGCGAGCTCGGGCGCCCCCGAAGCGTTGCCCTTGGCTGGCCCACGCCACTGCACCGACTGATCTCACTTTTCGGTGCAACTTGTGCCCTTACAAGCGCAAGGCCACAAGCAACCACCAGTACTACCACATCCGCCACAACCACTACCAGCGTGCCCATGAGGGGCAGGGCCTGCAGCCGGACATCGGGCGACCCAAGCTCACGCGGGTCTGCGGCCCAAAGGCTCAGTTCATCTGGTGTTGCCCTTTGTGCAACAAGGGCATCACGCACGAGACTCGGAAGGACCTTTCTCGATTCTCCTACTATGCCCTGCGAAACCAGCATCGTGCACAGGCCCACCCCGAGGTCTCCAAGGCTGAGTGGCAGCGTCTTGCGGCACTCCCGCAAACCGGGCCTAAGGATCGCCAGTTGCATGCCAAAGGGTGCCGCCACCGCAACCTCACCAAGGCCGTGTTCGCTCAAGTCAGGACCCCTCGCTTTGGGGACCAGATGCAGCTCTTTGTGTGGCCTCGAGCCAGGTGTGAGAAACGCAGCACCCGGGTCCAGCATGTCCTCCTTGAGCATGGTTGGAAGTGCCTCCGGTGCGGTGAGTGCACCAGGGACCTGGCTGCCGCCAAGCAGCACAGCGAGGGCCGGTGCAAGTCGCAGAGCAACACCCAGAAGCGGATCCAGAAACTTGATGCCATCGAGGCGTGGGCCCGGCGTGCCGGAGGCGACCCCGACTTCTGCTCCCAGGTGCTCCGTGCTGCCGCGGCTGCCAAGCTTGCCATCTCCACGCGAATCCCCTCCTCGCCGTTTTCATCAAGCTTTTGAGCATCAATGCGAATCGCACGGCCATCTCCAAAGTGGACCTGTGTGCCGACTTCCTCCAGTCGTGTGGGGCTGAGCTCTTGTCTCTCCAGGAGGCTGACATCAACCCTTTGTCGGCCCAGGGTTTTGGCGAGCGCTGGCGTGCCCACGGCTATCGTGCTGTTCTTAGCGACATTGATGCTGCTAAGGGTGTGCATAGGGTAGCCTTGGTTGCCTCCATCCCCATGCATCGTGTGAACCTTCAACTTCCCCCGCATGTGGCTGCGCGCTGTGCTGCAGGTGCTTTTGAGATGCAGGCCGCAGGCAGCAAGCGCATCACTCTTGTGGTGGCCTTCTACGGCTTCCCTGGTCAGCCAGATGCCACAGCCCAGGCCTTAGGTGAGGTTAGGCGTGCAGCCGCGACCTTCGGCGGCCCCTACATCTTGCTCGGCGACTTCAATGTCGACCAGTCTGAGCAAGCTGTGGTGCAGCTGTTGTGCGATGGCGAGCTCCGGTCTCTGGACGAGGCGGACTGGACCCAAGCCGGCCCAACAAATCCCACGCGCACCCGGCGCATCGACTTTGGCTTAGCCCATTGGTCCATCATTGCGTCGGCTGTCAAGCAGTTCGACCGCCCAAACCTTTCGGACCATGGGTGCGTCTTCTACGAAACGCGGTGCCTGAGCCGTGCCGACAGCTTCTCCATGCCTAAGTTTCGTGAGCTCCCTACCACGGCCACTGAAGACATCATGTCTAACTTTGGTAGGGTCTGGGATGCCGCACACTTTGAGAGTTCTATTGCAGGTGGGGCTCTTGATGAAGCCTGGGCCTTCTTGTCAGACGTGGCCGAGCGCACGCTGGGTGCCACTTCGCTCTTCGATGCCTCCGGTGCCCGCAGGAGAGACCACTGGCTCCCTTGTGCCCGCCACGAGTCACACCATCGTGTCGGCCCCCAGGGTCATGAGTCCCACTCCCTCCGTTCATCTCGCAAGTTGCTCGGGCAATTGCACCAACTGCGGCAACAGCCCCACTGTCAGAAGCTGTGGCGTGCGGTGGGCCGCCGGGCTGGGCTCCTGCGTGCCACTTTTCCCGACTTGCCCGTGATACATGCTGCCAACCTTGCAGGTGCCACCCAGGTGATCTCCCATTTGCATGCCGAGCTTCAGCAGCAGGAGACGGAGGCTAGAGTGCATAGGTGGCGTCGCCGTGTTGAGGAGGATCCTTCTCGTGCCCTTGCCTGGGTCAAGCGCAAAGCTGACCATCAGCTGGCCATGGAGCAGTCTCCTCAGGCCCCTGCTGGTGTCCCTTCCTCTGTTCACCCTGCCTCTATTGTTGAGGAGCATGGCAAAGTGTGGCTGCAGCACTGGAAGCCGGAGTCCCCTGTCGACTTCGATGCCGTGCAGCGCATCCTTGATCGTGTCCCGGGCGGGCCGCAATCGGACATGGTGCTCCAGGTCGAGGCTGAGGCTCTGATGCGGGCCGCGAAGGAAATGCGGGGGAAAGCGATGGGACCTGACCGATGGTCGGCGGAGCTCCTCCTCCGCCTCCCCGTGCAGTGGTGGGAAGCGGCGGCCACTCTGTGGAATGCGGTGCTCTCCACGCAGTACGTCCCTCGACTCTGGCGCCGGGCACTGATTGCCCTGGTGCCGAAGCGCCTGGATGAATACCGCCCGATTGCCTTGTGCCCTGTCATCTGGAGAGCTGGTGCCCACTGCATCTCTCGCAGTTTGCTGCCGTGGATGGACACGTGGCTGGGCCACCACACTTTGGGCGGTGCACCATGTCGAGGCCCGGGCGACGCTCATGCCCGGCTCTTTCATGCGTGGCAGAGCGGCTGCAAAGTCTTTTGCCAACAGGACCTCACGCGGTTCTTTGACTCTCTGGATGTCAGGGCGGTGGGTATGGTGCTCCGGCACCTCGGTGCTCCTGTTGGCCTCGCTGAGCTCTTAGCCTCTTTCTACCAGGATGCCTCGAGGCTCTTTCTGCACGAGGGCCGGTCCAGCAGTGCATGGGGCAGCCCGGCGTGGGGCCTGGCGCAGGGATGCCCGCTCTCTCCGATGGCCGCGGTTGCGGTAGGCCATATCTGGGCCATGTGGGTCCAGTCCTTTGCCAAGGGACGAACCGACTGCCTCATCTTTATAGATGACCGCGTGGTGTGGCCTTCCTGCACGTGTGTGGACCCTCTTGGGGCAATGGATGTGGCATTGAGGGCTTCTGACTCCTTCGACCAAGCCTTTGGTTTCCAGTGCCGTGCCAGCAAGTGTGCTGTGGTGTGTCCACCCGATATCGGGACTTTTGATCAGTGGGCCAGTGCTAGGAGCTACCCACGCGTGACTACTTTAAAGGTGCTGGGCATCACTCTTGACATGCAGGAGGGTGCCCTGGGGCTCCTTAAGTTCAGCCCGCGTTTGCTCCTGCATCGCCTTCGTTTCCTTAAGCTTCTGGGAGGGGAGGTGCCCCAGCTCCGTCGCATCGTGCTGCAGTTGGTCCACTCGGCCATGTTTTGGGCCGGTGGTGTCGCTTGCCCGGATCGCGACTGCTTGCGCGACATCTGGCACTCCACTTGTGCTGTCCTGTAAAAACACGCCACCTTCGAGTCCCCTAGAGTCTTGCTGTGTGCCTCTTTTGGCTGGATGTTGGACCCTGAATGGGCAGCGGACTGGGCATCCCTGCGGGCTGCCTGGCGTTTCAAGGCGCGGCCCCCGGCATGGCTTGACACGGCTGGGCTCGATGTTGCTTGTGGTGACTGGCGTCGCTTCCTCCCTGGTGCGGCGGCGGTCGTGCAGAGGTTAGGCTGGCAGGTCCATGGCAACGGCGCCACCCTGGCGCGACTCGACGACTCCGGTACCCTCCGTCAGTGCCACCTTGGCTGGGAATCCTTTGATGTGGTCAAGCGCTGGCTTGTGGACCACTACAAGTGGCAGGGCGTGCATTCGTGTGGGCGGATCCGCAATCGTGGCCACCGCGATGATGCCACGTTGGCCCGTGGTCTCAATCTGGGGGCCCCTCTCCGCAGTGCCCGGTTTGCGCTCGAAGGCCACCGACTCGCAGTTGCGGCTGAGCCTACACGTGAAGTTCGTCTTGCTGCACTGGGCTCGGGCGGCTCCATCTGGTACCACTGCAAACGGCTGGAAATGAGCTCACCCGACACCACGGCGTGTGTTTGTGGCCTCCTGCAGCCCAGCCGAGCACATCTCACCTGGTGTTGCTCCTCGTCGACGGGACTGCGGCAAGGCCTTGCGCCTCCTTCCACCCGTGCTGGTGAACGGCTCTTCGCGGCCGAAATCCCTGAGTACCCTGCGGCTCCTGCAGCTTCAGACGTCGAAGCAACCATCCAGAGCATGGTGGCACATCTTCGCGACTCCGCTGCTGTGGGCGAGCGTCTGCTCATCGCCACTGATGGCAGTGCCAAGTTTGATGTTGGAGGTTGTGCTGTGATCTTCGGAAGTGGCGATGGCACCTTCGTCTTCGGTGATGCTTGTGAGGACCAATCGGCCTTCCGATGTGAGCTCTTCACCTTGACGACCCTCTTCGAGGCGATTTCTCGTGCACAGCTGGATCCAAGGTGCCAGCTTGGCATCTTAGTCGATTGCAACTCTGCCCTTCAGGCTGTGGCTCAACCGGAGGCTTGCTCCATGCCTCTTCTGGCTCGCAAGGCTGCCAGGCTACTGCGTGATGCACGGGCTGGCGGCTTGGACCTGAGGCTCTCGTGGACACCCGCGCATGGTCGGCGGCCCAACTGGACTGCTCCTTGGGGCCTGACTGCCGCTCGTTGCAGACACCTCAATGATCGGGCCGATGCGGCGGCCAACAGCATCCGCGAGCAACGGGCCCGTGGCTCGGCCAGGGTGAGCTGGCATGCCGAGCTAAATCGGGCCGCGACCTGGGAGAGGGGAGCCATCTTGGCTTCCGCTGGTGCCTCAAACGTGCTGGCACAACACCTTCGTGCAAGGCGGCCGGCCCGTCTCATTCTGGATGATCCGTGAGAGTCGCTCTTACCTTGAACACTTGCATCCGTGACGACTTCGGTGACTGGATGAACTACTTGCTGCCCTACCTCTTCAGCTGCTGTCGCTGGCTGCTGGCTGCGGGGCGTGCAGCGGGGCGTGGGCTGCTGGCTGCTGTCGGCTGCTGGCCCTCTGAGTTCCTTCGTCGAGTCCAACTGAAGTCGTAGAGGTGTACAGCTGCTCAGCATGTCGCTTGGATGCTGCTTAGGCTCTTGCTAGGCAGCTTGTGCGCTGCGTAGCCCTGCACTTCTCCTCTCAGCAAACCTGAGCCTCAGGCTCACTTTTTCTCGGACTCTGAGCTTCAGTTCCTTCGCATCGGCTAAACTTGCTTTTGCGACTTTAGTTTCGGTCTTTCATGCTACAGCTTCGAGCACTTGGACGTGTACAGTTGTCACTTGTCCTCTGCTTGTGAGCCCCATGACTGACCCTTTAGCTTCGGTTCACACCGACAACCAAAGACGTTCAAGGACGCAGCTCGGGACTTCGTTGCGTTGCCCGAGTTTTGCCCGCACCGCAGTTAGGCGTGAGAACACGAAGCTTGGGCCCGAGACAGGAACTCCGCGAGTTCCAAGCTGGACAACACCGTAGGTAGACTCGGTGGCTAAGTCTGTCTCGACTGTGCCATGGCTCCTTCCTCGGGAGGCGCTGTGGGTGCTGAGCGGAAACGGATGATGGATTTGGCGGCCATGGAGGCCGCGACGTCGAGTACTCAGCTGATCCTACCTGTCAGCTACAGAAAGTTCAGGGGAGTTGCGCCGCGCAACTATGTTCTCAAAGCTATGCTTGAGGGTGAGCATGCTTCTATCGAAGACTTCTTGGAAAGGCTCAATGAGGATGCCAGTGCAGTTGTGGGATCGGCTGTGCTAGTGGATGAGCTCTTTCGTGTACGTGAAGCCCTCGTTCTTCTCTGGACCGAGCAGCTGACAAAGCGGTGTGATGGCGACCCACCTTGGGTGGAGCGCCTCCAGGCGATGGGACATTTCCCAAGCACTACCCTGTGGTTTGCTGACGGGGACTTTGGCCTTGCTCCGGCGGAGGCCTATCGCGATGCAAATGTCCAGCAGCAGCGGGGCAGCCGGGAGCAAGTGGCAGCAGGGCTGCCGCTTTCTGGTGGGCGACCTGGTGCTGGTGCGGACGCTGAGCTGGTGACGCAGCCGGCTGCTGGCGAGATTGAGGAGAATGCGGAGCTGGCTGGGCCTTCCGAAGTGGAGGCGACCAACCATGGCGACGCTGCTCTTCCTTTGCAGCCGGCGGCCAGATGTAGTAGCGTAAGGGCCCCGACCCGAGAACCGCGAAAAATCAAAGAAGATCCGTGGAAGGACAAAGAGCCACCTAGCCCGGCCTCTCCCTGCCTCCTTGGTAACATGTTTTCTAAGACCGGCCCGTTCGGGGCCCCCTCCGAGAGTAGCTCTCCTTGCCGCCATGGCCTCGGTACTGCAGCTCTCGGCCTGTGTCAGTGTCAGTCCCCTGCCTCTTGCGAACCGGCAGGTGTGGACTTCCTCGGGGGCCCCCTGGGCGCCACGGCCCAAGGTGGCAGTGTGATCGAGCAGAGCTGTGGCACGGATTTTCTTGGCGGCCCCATCTGGACGGTGCCCCAAGCGCATGCATATCCTAGTGCCAGTGTGGATCATGTGCAGCCTGAGCAGCAATCCCTTCAGTGCCTCCCGGTGTGTGTGCAATTTGGGCTTCCTGCTCTCCAGCGCTGCTTTGCATTCCTGCAAGGTGTCCGTGTGGGTGAGGCAAAGCACCCGGGTCCGCGAGGCCCACCGGCAGTGATTACCTGGAACTGGCATTTGGGGTTTAGGTTCGGCGAAGCTTCGCACCCGGGCCCTGCTGAGCTTACGAACCGAGGTGCTGGATGCCATCCCCCTTTCCCCTCTTGGGTTCTAGGTCCTCCGCGACGCCAGCAGCCGGCCCCGGCGCCGCTAGGCCCCCTAGGGTTTGAGTGTGCACCTAGGTGCTGTGTGACAGGCCGCCGGGCCCCTGCAGGTGAGCCGATGCTTAGTGTGTGCCATGACTGGAAGAGGGGATGCCGCCTGGGCGAGGCCTCTCACCCTGGCCCTGGTTTCAACCTTGACCTTGGCAACCTTGGGGATAGCCTTGGCGATAGCATCATGAAGTCGATCAAGGAGCAGATCCAGAAGGCAGTTGACGAGGCAATTAAGCAGGCCCTGGCGTCGCTTAATCTCGGCCGGGGCTTGGCTGCTGCCCGGCCGTCCGGTGATCCAGACGTGCAACTTGAGCCAAAGGGCAGGCGCAAGAGGAAACGTAAGGCCAAGCAGGCCACGAGCCACCCAGGTGGCAACCCCGACGCCTCGGGCGGCGAGTGTGCAGGTGGCCGCCAGAGCGCAGCCAAAGGCAAGGGCAAGCCTGGAGACAAGTCTGGCCCAGCCAAGGTGGCCCAGCGCGGTGGCCCAGGCGACTCAGGTCAACGCCGGGGCAAGGGCAAGGGCGGCTGCGGTGAGGCAGGCGGGCAGGAAGCCGGTGATGGCTGGCAGATCGTCCGGCGCAAGGCTCCGGAAGGCGCCTTCACGCTTCGAAAATCTGATTGGGACGCTCCGGTCGTCGAGTATGCTGCCCTAGCTGAGTTCATTGACAAGGCTGATGCCAGCAAGGTCCTCGAACTTGTAGTCTTTGTTTCGGCCGACCAGGTCACGCTTGCTACGAACATTCTGCGGGGGAGCGGGCGGAGCTTCAAGGCCCTGCTTGTTTTCCTATCCAAGGATGAGGAGGCCCAGCGCATTCCGGGCACCATTGGGGATCGCCTGGTCTTCAGGACTGCTAAGGTCCAGAAGCTCACGTCTGCAGGTGCCAGTGGCCATGCTCCGCAGCCCACCGGCCTGAGCCAAACGTCCATCAAGATCAAACCCACTGAAAGTGCAGTCGTCTACTTTAAGGTGCCAAAGCAGTTCGCTTCAGCTGACACTTGGAAGGCTTTCGGGGGCAACGCCTCCAAGGCCGCTGTAGACTGGGTCGCGGCCCAAAGGATCAAGGTGCTCGACACTTTTGCCTGGGTCCTGGAAAAGCAGCGCAACGACACTCATGAGCAGTACTTTGGCATTGATCGCATTCCGAAGGCAGACATTGAGGGCATCCTGGCCCACTCTGGCAAGGACGGTGTCTTCGTGGATGCCGCTCGCACCTCAGGGCCCCGGGCGAAGCTCCAATGGATCGAGAAGCTCCCCGGCGAGAAGGCGGACGCCTACTTTGAACGTGCCCTGCGCCAGGCTTCTAGCCTGGGTCTGGTCGTCAATGGGGGGCGATTGGCGTGGCGAAGTGCCATGGCAGCTGGAGAAGCAACGGTGCGCATCTGGCACATCGATGGTGTGCCCCACGAGTGGGATGTGGATGCCGTCGGCCAGCTCTTGGCCACACGCTTCACTGAGTACACCATCCTGTCGCATCGGCGCACTCGCCTCGGGTCCTGCTTTCGCTTCCGCGGGCAACCTGCAACCGCAGACACGGACCTGGTGCCGTTCGTCGTCGAGCATCAGGAGAAGCCCTTGTCCTTGTGGGCAACGCTGGCACCTTTCCGTGTCGTCTCCAAGAAGCAGAAGCCTCTCGCCTCGAAGGCCGTCCCGGTCGTTGCTCTCGAGCAGCCCGTCGCTGCCACCATCGTCAAACCTCCCACGGGGGAGCTGGCTACGGGCGAGGACGGCAAGGAAGTGCCCCAGCAGAAACGTGTCAAGCAGGAGGTGCGCACCAAGCCAGGTGACCTCCAGCTCAAGGCATGCCCTCGTGACGGAGCCTGCGTGCTGCACGCACTAAGCCTCGGCCTTCAATGGCTTGGTGACTCTCGGCCCAATCACCCGCGCATGCTCCGTGCGCAAATGGTCGAACACATGCGCCGGCACGCCACCCAGTACGAGAAGGAATGGGACGGCAAAGGGCCGGACAGTGAGCCGGTCAAGGACCGGGACTTCCCGGCCTACCTCACTCTTATGGAGAAGGAGGGGGCATACTGCTCGGATGTCGAGCTGAGGGCCCTGGGCCGTGTGCTGGACATCAAAATCGTCGTGCTGCCGGCGGGCCTCAACTTTGCTCCTTACGCCTTCCATAGCAAAGCTGCCAAGATGCTGGTGTTGTGGTACGAGGATAACCACGTTGATCTCATGCTCCCGCCTGAGGGTCACAAGAAGTATCCCAGTGAGTATGCCCAGATCACAGCTGGACCCGTCTTTGGGCTGCGTGCAGGTGGCCGTGGGCCCCCATCGGTCTTCACTGCCTCCTCTGCTGTCTGTGTTCGATCCCAGCCATCCTCTCAGTGGACCTCGGTCATGGAAGGCGAAGGGGCAAAATCCCAGGCTCGCCCAGCATCCGTCTGGACCACCTCGATGCCGGCGAGCGCCTCGGGGAGCGCTGCGGGGCGGCCCTCAATTGGAGCCCAGCCCTCTTTGCAAGGTAGGCGGCCCAGGTCACAGGTGTCACAGGCAAGGTCTTCAGGCAGCCGGGTGTCGTCGCAGGCAAAGGTGCAGGCCCTTTCCCGGCCGTGCCCACCCAGTGCCAGGTGCAAGGCAAAGGCATTGCATGGTCCCCAGACCAGGCCCAGGGGCGAGCCACAGGCGAGGTCATCACAGGCCACGGCCCAGGCAAGGCCCTCAGGCACCAAGCGCAAGGCGGTTGAGCTGTGCACTTCGTCCGTCTTCACCTGCACCTCTGCTGGCACTATCGAGGCCTTCGATGAATCCGAGTTTGAGCGAGCTCGTGTGCCCCCGAAGCGCTGCCCTTGGCTGGCCCATGCCACGGCACCGGCTGACCTCACTTTTCGGTGCAACTTGTGCCCTTACAAGCGCAAGGCCACGAGCAACCACCAGTACTACCACATCCGCCACAACCACTACCAGCGTGCCCATGAGGGGCAGGGCCTGCAGCCGGACATCGGGCGTCCCAAGCTCACGCGGGTCTGCGGCCCAAGGGCCCAGTTCATCTGGTGTTGCCCTTTCTGCAACAAGGGCATCACGCATGAGACTCGGAAGGACCTTTCTCGATTCTCCTACTATGCCCTGCGCAACCAGCATCGTGCACAGGCCCACCCCGAGGCCACCAAGGCTGAGTGGCAGCGTCTTGCGGCACTCCCGCAAACCGGGCCCAAGGATCGCCAGGTGCATGCCAAAGGGTGCCGCCAGCGCAACCTCACCAAGGCCGTTTTCGCTCAAGTCAGGACCCCTCGCTTTGGGGACCAGATGCAGCTCTTTGTGTGGCCTCGAGCCAGGTGTGAGAAACGCAGCACCCGGGTCAAGCATGTTCTCCTTGAGCATGGTTGGAAGTGCCTCCGGTGCGGTGAGTGCACCAGGGACCTGGCTGCCGCCAAGCAGCATAGCGAGGGCCGGTGCAAGTCGCAGAGCAACACCCAGAAGCGGATCCAAAAACTTGATGCCATCGAGGCGTGGGCCCGGCGTGCCGGAGGTGACCCCGACTTCTGCTCCCAGGTGCTCCGTGCTGCCGCGGCTGCCAAGCTTGCCATCTCCATGCGAATCCCTTTCTCGCCGTGTTCGTCAAGCTTTTGAGCATCAATGCGAACCGCACGGCCATCTCCAAAGTGGACCTGTGTGCCGACTTCCTCCAGTCGTGTGGGGCTGAGCTCTTGTCTCTCCAGGAGGCTGACATCAACCCTTTGTCGGCCCAGGGTTTTGGTGAGCGCTGGCGTGCCCATGGCTATCGGGCTGTTCTCAGCGACATCGATGCTGCCAAGGGTGTGCATAGGGTAGCCTTAGTCGCCTCCCTCCCCATGCATCGGGTGAACCTTAAGCTCCCTCCTCATGTGGCTGCGCGCTGTGCTGCAGGTGCTTTTGAGATGCAGGCTGCTGGCAGCAAGTGCATCACCCTTGTGGTGGCCTTCTACGGTTTCCCTGGTCAGCCAGCTGCCACAGCCCAGGCCTTAGGTGAGGTTAGGCGTGCAGCTGCGACCTTCGGCGGCCCCTACATCTTGCTCGGCGATTTCAATGTTGACCAGTCTGAGCAAGCTGTGGTGCAGCTGTTGTGCGATGGCGAGCTCCGCTCTCTGGATGAGGCGGACTGGACCCAAGCCGGCCCAACAAATCCTACGCGCACCCGGCGCATTGATTTTGGCCTGGCCCATTGGTCAATCATTGCGACGGCTGTCAAGCAGTTCGAACGCCCGCACCTTTCGGACCACGGGTGTGTCTTCTATGAGACGCGGTGCCTGAGCCGTGCCGACAGCTTCTCCATGCCTAAGTTTCGTGAGCTCCCTGCCACGGCCACTGAAGACATCCTGTCTAACTTTGGTAGGGTCTGGGATGCTGCACACTTTGCGAGTTCTATTGCAGGCGGGGCTCTTGATGAAGCCTGGGCCTTCTTGTCAGACGTGGCCGAGCGCACGCTGGGTGCCACTTCGCTCTTCGATGCCTCCGGTGCCCGCAGGAGCGACCACTGGCTCCCTTGTGCCCGCCACGAGTCCCACCATCGTGTCGGCCCCCAGGGTCATGAGTCCCAGTCCCTCCGTTCATCTCGCAAGTTGCTTGGGCAATTGCACCAACTGCGGCAACAGCCCCACTGTCAGAAGCTGTGGCGTGCGGTGGGCCGCCGGGCTGGGCTCCTTCGTGCCACTTTCCCCGACCTCCCTGTGATACATGCTGCCAACCTTGCAGGTGCCACCCAGGTGATCTCTCATTTGCATGCTGAGCTTCAGCAGCAGGAGACGGAGGCCAGAGTGCACAGGTGGCGTTGCCGTGTTGAGGAGGATCCTTCTCGTGCCCTCGCCTCTGGGTCAAGCGCAAAGCTGACCATCAGTTGGCCATGGAGCAATCTCCTCAGGCCCATGCTGGTGTCCCTTCCTCCGTTCACCCTGCCTCTATTGTCGAGGAACATGGTAAAGTGTGGCTGCAGCACTGGAAGCCGGAGTCCCCTGTCAACTTCGATGCCGTGCAACGCATCCTTGACCGTGTCCCGGGCGGGCCGCAATCGGACATTGTGCTCCAGGTCGAAGCTGAGGCTCTGATGCGGGCCACCAAGGCAATGCGGGGGAAAGCGATGGGCCCTGACCGATGGTCAGCGGAGCTTCTGCTCCGCCTCCCAGTGCCGTGGTGGGAAGCGGCGGCCACTCTGTGGAATGCGGTGCTCTCCACGAAGTACGTTCCTCGACTCTGGCGCCGGGCACTGATTGCCCTGGTGCCGAAGCGCCTGGATGAATACCGACCGATCGCCTTGTGCCCTGTCATCTGGCGAGCTGGTGCCCACTGCATCTCTCGCAATGTGCTGCCGTGGATGGACACATGGCTGGGCCACCACACCTTGGGCGGTGCACCATGTCGAGGCCCGGGCGACGCTCATGCCCGGCTCTTTCATGCGTGGCAGAGCGGCGGCAAAGTGTTTTGCCAAGCAGGACCTCACGCGGTTCTTCGACTCTCTTGATGTCCAGGCGGTGGGTATGGTGCTCCGGCACCTTGGTGCTCCTGCTGGCCTAGCTGAGCTCTTAGCCTCCTTCTACCAGGATGCCTCGAGGCTCTTTCTGCACGAGGGCCGGTCCAGCAGTGCATGGGGCAGCCCGGCGCGGGGCCTGGCGCAGGGATGCCCACTCTCCCCAATGGCCGCGGTTGCGGTCGGCCATATCTGGGCCATGTGGGTCCAGTCCTTTGCCAAGGGACGCACCGACTGCCTCGATCATCTTCATTGACGACCGGGTGCTGTGGCCTTCCTGCACGTGTGCGGACCCTCTTGGGGCCATGGATGTGGCATTGAGGGCTTCTGACTCCTTTGACCAAGCCTTCGGCTTCCAGTGCCGTGCCAGCAAGTGTGCTGTGGTGTGTCCACCCGATGTCGGGACTTTCGATCAGTGGGCCAGTGCCAGGAGCTACCCACGCGTGACTACTTTGAAGGTGCTGGGCATCACCCTCGACATGCAGGAGGGTGCCCTGGGGCTCCTTAAGTTTAGCCCACGCTTGCTCCTGCATCGCCTTCGCTTCCTCAAGCTCCTGGGAGGGGAGGTGCCCCAGCTCCGTCGCATTGTGCTGCAACTGGTCCACTCGGCCATGTTTTGGGCTGGTGGTGTCGCCTGCCCGGACCGCGACTGCTTGCGCGACGTCTGGCACTCCACTTGTGCGGTCCTGCAAAAGCACGCCACCTTCGAGTCTCCTAAAGTCTTGCTGTGTGCCTCCTTTGGCTGGAGTTTGGACCCTGAATGGGCGGCGGACTGGGCATCCCTGCGGGCTGCCTGGCGTTTCAAGGCTCGGCCCCCGGCCTGGCTCGACACGGCTGGGCTTGATGTTGCTTGTGGTGACTGGCGTCGCTTCCTCCCTGGTGCGGCGGCGGTTGTGCAGAGGTTAGGCTGGCAGGTCCAAGGCAATGGCGCCATCCTGGCACGGCTCGACGATTCGGGCACCCTCCGTCAATGCCACCTTGGCTGGGAATCCTTTGATGTGGTCAAGCGCTGGCTTGTGGACCACTACAAGTGGCAGGGCGTGCATTCGTGTGGGCGGATCCGCAATCGTGGCCACCGCGATGATGCAACGTTGGCCCGTGGTCTCAGCCTGGGGGCCCCGCTTCGCAGTGCTCGGTTTGCGCTTGAAGGTCACCGCCTTGCAGTCGCGGCTGAGCCTACACGTGAAGTTCGCCTTGCAGCACTGGGCTCGGGCGGCTCCATCTGGTACCACTGCAAACGGCTGGAGATGAGCTCACCCGACACCACGGCGTGTGTTTGTGGCCTCTTGCAGCCCAGCCGGGCGCATCTCACCTGGTGTTGCGCCTCAACGACGGGATTGCGGCAAGGTCTCGCACCTCCTTCCACCCGTGCTGGTGAACGGCTCTTTGCGGCCGAAATCACTGAGTACCCTGCAGCTCCTGCAGCTTCGGACGTTGGAAACATCCTTCAGAGCATTGTGGCGCATCTTCGCAACTTCGCTACTGTGGGCGAGCGTCTGCTCATCGCGACCGATGGCAGTGCTAAGTTTGATGTCGGCGGCTGTGCCGTGATCTTCGGAAGCGGCGACGGCACCTTCGTCTTCGGTGATGCTTGTGAGGACCAGTCGGCCTTCCGATGTGAGCTCCTCACCTTGACGACCCTCTTCGAAGCGATCTCTCGTGCACAGTTGGCCCCAGGCTGTCAGGTCGGCATCCTGGTGGATTGCAGCTCTGCTCTTCAGGCTGTGGCCCAACCTGAGGCGTGCTCTATGCCTCTCCTGGCTCACAAGGCTGCGAGGCTACTGCGTGATGTGCGTGCCGGTGGCTTGGACCTGAAGCTTTCGTGGACTCCTGCACATGGTCGGCGGCCCAACTGGACTGCTCCCTGGGGCCTAACGGCCGCCTGCTGCAGGGACCTTAACGAACGGGCCGATGCGGCTGCCAACAGCATTCGCGAGCACAGGGCTCGTGGATCGGGCAGGGTGAGCTGGCATGCAGAGCTTCATCGTGCAGCACTTTGGGAGCGGGGGGCCATCTTGGCTTCTGCTGGTGCCTCCAATGTCCTGGCGCAGCACCTTCGTGTGAGGCGGCCGGCCCGTCTCATTCATGATGATCCGTGAAACTCGCTACGACACTGAACATTTGCATCGTTGACGGCTTCTACGGTGGCTCCCCTGGGAACTTCGTGCTGCACCACTTCTTCTGGCTGCTGCCGCTGGCTGCTGGCTGCGGTGGCGTGCTGCGGGGCGTGGGCTGATGGCTGAGGCGCGCTGCTGTGTCCCTCTGAGTTCCCACGTCGAGCCCATCTGAAGCCGTAGAGGTGTACAGCTGCTCCGCACGTCACTTCGATGCTGCTTAGGCTCTCGCTAGGCAGTTTGTGCTTGCTGTGTAGCCCTGCACCTCTCCTTCTAGCAAACCTGAGCCAAAGGCTCACTTTTCTTCTCGGCTCTCCTGAGCCTTAGTTTCCCATGTTTCGGCTAATCTGGCCTCAACGACTCTAGTTTGTTTGGTCTCTCATGCCTCAGCTTCAAGCACCTTGGATTGTACAGTTGTCACACGTCCTCTGCTTGTCAGCTTCATGATTGACCTTTTAGGTTCGGTCTCACAACCGACAACCAAAGACGTTACTGGACGCAGATCGGGACTTCGTTGCGATGCCCGAGTCTTGCCTGAACCGCAGTTAGGCGTGAGAACACGCTGCTTGGGTCCTACCAAAAGTGTGTTCGTGAGCCTTGAGGGGGGGTGGGGGGGAAAAACAGTACGGCTCTGAGCGCTTGAATACTTGCGGACATGTGATTGAAGATTTCACTTGAGCTTGATTTTACCTCGGCTTGATTTTAGATTGAGTGCTTGATCATTGTACAGTGTGAATGAGATCCTTGCATGGCAAAGTTACGACTCAAGTTCTTTTGTGACCCGCCCTCCCACACCGGGGGTCTCGAGGCAACTGCGACCGTCATGTGAACATGTGGTCCAGGCTTCAGACGGCAAGATCCAGTTCGACGCACCGATTGAACACAATGGTCTTCGAGTATGCCTTCGATTGCGCGATGCCTCAAGAGTGATTCTGAGCAACTGCATGTTCGATCGTTTACTGCTTGAGCTTTGGTGTGGAACCTTGGTGAATGCATTCGAGCGTCAGATGCAGTTGATTTTCCAACGACTTTTGATTTCTCTTAAAACCCGACCCTAACCCTCAAGGCTCAAAGGTTCGACTCAAGGCGTGAGAACACTGCACTTTTTGGAGCTGCTGACCAAATTGCTCGATAGGATGAAAGAGTTTTGTGTGTGCCGACAGGAAGACTGTGTGATTGTAAGTAAGTATACGTGAGCGGGTTCAAGAATCTAAAGAGGATTCCCTTAGCAGTTAGTCCATGAGAAGTGAGAAATTCATTCCAGGCAGTCTTTGATGCAGAAGGATAGGAACCTGACCGTCAAAGACATCACATGGATCTTCGAGAAGGCTGCTTTCATGCATTTTCGCGATCATGGAATTGAATCCAAAAAACCACTGTTGAACCGAGGATTCAGTGTACGGGAAGCGCTCCGGGACTTTGGACCCGGGCCTGCATTTTTGGATCGCGGGGGGTGGGGGTATAGGCCTGCCGCTACCCCATGTGATATCATCAGTTTGCAAACCAAGGCTGGCCTCGCAATTCTCGTGAAGGGAAGCGGAAGCGTCTTCAGGAACATGCCGGGCTTCAAGAGCGGAACAATTTACGACGTAGAGATGCTACCAAGGAACGACTTCAACTCGCCGGAGGCAGGATGTTCCAGAAACTTCGCAATCCAGTTATGAAATCTTTCTCTGAATTAAACCCGATTGTCGCAGGCGAAGTCCGAGATGCCACATCTAGGAAGAAAGCTCACCGACGTACAAGAACTCAAGCAAGAGGCAGGAGGAACAAGCTTGGTACGTCAGACGTTGAAGTCAATGGTTCCAACGAACGCGAAAAGCGTGATGCTGGTGGACTTGCATGGATACGACGTTTGGCCAGGACTTGCGGTGATCGAGGAGAACTGCCACGCATCCGACCGAACCATGACAATGGCATCTATAGTGTGGGATAGAAATGCTTGGTTAGACGAAAAACTGGCCAACCACGTATTCCAATCTGCTAGGAAAGGAAAACTGGCCTTGCCGGGGTGGCCGGACTTTCAAGGACTTGTGCAGAGGATGCAGGCCCTCACGGACACGGAGCAGACGCAAGGCCTCTCCCTTCAGGTATCCGTCGTTTTGCAGTCACCAAGACGTCTCCTCCTGCTTGCAAGCCTTGCAGAGAAATTCCTCAACATGGACGCGGAGATCGCAGAGGAAGCTCAAAGCATCATCCAGGCACACAACAAGAAGTACAACGCAGAGGAAACCGACATTGACTTTCTGTACACAGAGCAGCATCCTGGCTTTAATAGTCAGTCAGACTGCCTTGCAGCCCTGAGAGTTCGGGATAGTGTGTGCAGCCCAGGCAAACAAGTACGATGGATGTCAACAAGAATCTTCAGTTCGACAGCACCGAGGAAGATGTCGCCAAGCTGCCGAATCCCGTCAAGCTTGACATGAGTGGGCAGGCTACATGGATTGCCTCCGAAGGCAACCTCTTCCTCCAGGTGACCGGGAATGAGAATTTCCAGGCTTTAAGGAACCGAGAAGTGTGACTCGTTAGAAAATAGTTAACCATGTCTTGTTCGACACGTCGACTTGTAAACCGTTTCATCGAAGTGACCCAGGTTTTCCTTTGGAAGTGGCGATTGGCGCACGAAGCACGTGACATGGACAGCACACAGACTAAGCACTGCAGCCTGGATGTTTAACGCCTTTTGTGTGCATTTCTCAGGACGCAAAAGAGTTAGTCAGCGACGCTTTGGGCGATTGGTTCAGCTTCGGCGGAGAGAACTTGATGGATTCGCTGGTTTTGCTCGAGAAGAAGGATGTACCCGAACACTTGAAAGACATTCCAAGCATGGAGACTTGTGTGACACTGGCGGCCCTCGTCAGAGAATTTCAGGATGCAGGGCAAACGTCGCATCGCGTCTGGGGCGAAGGGAAGGAGTTACTCGTTTTCAAGATGGACGGACCCCCGCAACAGAAGGAGAAAAAGCCGAAGCGCCGACGTACCTCCATGGGAAACTTGAGCAAGTCGTTCGGGGCGCACCTGTCGATTGCGAAGTTCAAGGAAAGCGAGTCATTGGCATTGGCATGGAGGCCCAATCTTGTAGATTTCAGGTTATCCTTGACTCGGTCACTCAGTAAGCATGCAGTGTACCGGTGAAAACAATGATAATGTCGAACTACCCAAATCTGAACGCATGGAAGGCTGCGCTTGGAGCTGGGCGAGAACGGAATGGTCACGATCGTGCCTATTCGACCGGTGGCCGTCACGGCAGGCACCATCGACCTAGCCCCAGGAACGTACAAGATCATGTGACGATTGACCCCCACAATTCTTTAATAGTTTCCGATAGCTTGACCAAGTAAACGGAATCCACAATTTTGGCACTATGTTGCTGCGTGCACATGGACATGATGTGGAAACGAAACAACAAGGAAGTACCAGCGCTTGGGTCCGGGATTCCAGAAGAGTTGTGAATCGCTAGGTTTAGTTCCATAGTGGAAAGGCCCCGGACAAGCCATAATTAAGTATTATTATACTAATACTTAATAGTATTGATTTGATCAGATCTTTAGATTGGTTAGCCGACCGACAGCAATCCCGTGGCCCAGGAATAGGAACACAGAAGGGCAATGACCTATTCGGAAGCGTTTTGGAAAAATAAGGAAGTCCGGTTCAATATCACGAAGCAGTGTCATGCGATTTTCTGTATGCTTCGTGCTTCATTGATTCAGCTGAAGCATCTCCGCTCGAGTTCACATAGAAGACAGTATTAGCAAGTCTACAAGCATACCATGCCTGGTTTGTCCGCGGATGAAGTGGAGCCCATCGAGCCGAAGTGGAGAAGTCCAGTTTTCGATATGGACGAAATGATGAGCACCTTGTCGGAAAAGTATGAAATAGAATCTGATTAGACCCATCCATGTAAGGACATAATGCTCAGCCCGCAGAACCGAAACAGCCGCCGACAAGACCATCTGCTTTGAAATCGACGAGTGGCTCAGCAAAAGCAGTGCTGCCAACAACGGCAACAACCACGAAGGACAGGCTCCCACCGCGTGTCCGAAACACCAGCTCGGAGGAAGAGAAGGAGCCGAAGAAGACGCAGAAAAAGAAGAAGAATAAGGACGCGGATCATGCTCCTTTGCGCGGCAACCGTAAGGACGATGAGGACGACGAAGACGAAGATGGTTCCTACGATGAGGACGAAGATGAACCCGAAGAAGACGAAAAAGTGAAGACGAAGAAGCGCCCAGCAGCCCAGAGCTCCAAGCCCAACAAGAAGCCGGCAGGCAAGAAAACCAAGAAAAACGACGGACTCTGGGAGCACTGGTGACCTGATTGCAATGTGATGCGAATCAGCAGGTAATTTGTATGTCAAATCCGATGTAACATGAGGCCGGTCCTGGACACGATCGTGGAGGAACCCTCGGAGAGCGTCCTTGAGAAATGCTTACAGGATGGCTACGAACGCGAGGCGGGGCCAGGGTGGCCGAATCCTTCCGTTTGTGTCCAACTTGCTTGCATCACGGCCAGGACACTGCGACCACTGAGACAGCACCATTCCGAAACACTATCTCATTTGTTACCCGGCTGCTCTTAAGACACGTTCTGATTGTGACCGCAGCACTGTTAGGCTTTCTTTGCATCGAAGGGCTTGCCAGGATTATGATGCCACGTTCTTGAAGCTAGATTGACTGTGATTTCCAGGTAGAGGAAATGGGACCCGAAAACCAAGCACTGTTTGAAGACTGGGACACTATGACGGCAAGATGGGAGCTGGTGGCCCGGCTGATGTTAAGGAGCTTCATCATGCCACTGTCACAGTGCGAGCTTCAGGACCAAGCAAATCGCGGTCTGCCGTCAGATGGTGACAAGGCAGTGGCAGGCTGTGTGTGTTGTTGTTTTGATTAATCAACCTCCAAGCTGCTAGGAATCGCACGTGATCAAGCAAGAGAATATTGCAATGAAGGACAACAATGAGGCAGGATTCCGGCGGGCTCGTGTCT